CACAACAATACACCAAAAGCAAAACAAACTTATCTTCTCTCCAGTCCTTGATTCTTGGCCTCCCACAGAAAGAATGATGAGGATGATGTGATGACCGAGATCGACAGGCCTCGGTTGATCGATGTCGGCAGAAACCACACAACAGCACACAATCTTGACCTTCCTCACACTTTTTACTGTCCGTCAAACTATTTCTCCTCTACGTCACTAACTTGTCACGACGCAAACGCAGCCCTATCACATTTAGTCATTATTAATTACAATCAGTCGGAACAAATACGAAAACGATAACAAACTATCACTTTATAGCGCTACGGGTGATCCAAGCCAACCCCGATGTCGCTATCAAAAATTAAGAGTAGACCCGAACAACGATGCAATATTTAAGAGAATAAACTCAGCAACGCTATCACAAACTTACTCGATAGCAACATCAAAATTAAGGGATTAACTCAATCACGTTAGCCCTACAATAGTGAACGACAAAACTTAAAGAAAAATAAATCAGTCAGCTAAACATACAAACTAATCTATGTCTCCTATTTAGACAAATAAGTACAAGCACATTGGGTTCACAATTAACGCGGACAACTATTACTATCTAGCTACTACTATAGATTCAATTCCCAAGGACGAACGCCCCCATAATCTGTCACAAACCTCTGGTATGACCTTGCCGGTCCGTGGCTCGCTAACTAGGCCTATGACAGACAGACTAACCTACAACACACACTGAACCCGAACGCACACAGAGCACACACGACAATCTTTATTGGAAGTACAGGTAATACATAGACAGTTGACTTCCCGCCGTGTGGCCACCTATTGCCTGGACCCTCTGGCTGGACGGGCTTTACAATCGCCCCGTCCCCAGTACGTGCGACAGGCAATACTCTGGTGTACAAACCACAATCCGGCAGGATACGCTCTCTTCTATCGCCACGCTGACCCAATCAAACTGTCACAGTCTCTGTCTTAGTGCAGGGTCAGAGTGTCCAGGTTAGCCACTCTCTCACAGCACATATACATAAATACTCTACACAAGAACTATCCTATCCTAACACAAAACTGTACATAAACTATCCAGTCACTAACAGAAATATATCCTAACTTTAATACTATAACATAAACTATCCAGTCACTAAACGTCCTCTCTTCCTGACCGACGCACACCGAATGTCCTCTTCCTTCTACCTCGTGTCTCTTAACCCCGTTCACCAGCTCAGTCCCAAAAGCAGTCATCGTGTTACTAAAACACAGTTCAGGCTTTCTTGCTTTATCCTGAGCGCTGGTTTCGCCGTGCGATCACAGAACGGACTTGACCAGTGACGGCCCTGACCTCTGTGTCAACCCTGGGCTGCACACCTTTTACGGTGTGGTAGCAACAACGGAAACACTGACCAGATGACAGAGGTAAAAACGTTATACACAAGATGGCTGAATGGTTCAAGACCAAGAAGACAATGGAGATATCTAGACAGACCTACGAACACTTGGTGTCACCAACCGTTAAAAAAGGTCAACCAGAGAGATCAATGGAGGCGGTGAAATATGCAGCAATGAACCTCAAGGACTCGGAATGCTGAAGAAAACATGAAGAATCCTTATTACAGTGGTTCCCAATTAGCAAAGACCTGTAGACCCCACTTATTTTTAAAGGTCTGCCAAGGACCCTAAACCTTTTTAATAAACACAACAAAGAAATTATTTCCTTTCTTCGTTTGTCCGAATGATGTAACTGTGTTGTTCCTGTTTACAGCAAAGCTGCGATATTTGCACCTTTCGGCTGACACACCCGACTACATCGAGCATTTGTTAACTATGTTAACTTCCCAGGAAGAAATTATTTTAATTTATGAATATCAGAACTGCAAACAAGATCTGAGAAAATGTGTTATCTGTAAACCTGCTTTCTCATAATGGATCAAGCATGTCGCAGATCTCATAATCAGTCATATTTCTCAGTACATTGCCTGCACAGATGCTGAGCAGATATGGAAAGAAAAATGATACCATGTTACTTATCATTGTTCCTCAAACCAGTATAATGTATACCTTCACTACCTAGTTGTGAACCAGTGGGACAGCACTCCAAACAATCATTGTACAGTACTCTCTCTGTGTGGGCTCAGGGATCACATTGTGAGGAAAACAAGAATAGATTCACTGCCTTCCCAACAAGTATGTCGTAAGAATAGACTAATTGGAGGCTTCCTTCAAATTCAGAGTGCATCTGACTGAGAGGCAAGGAAACAACAGTCTGCATGTGAAGGAAAAAAACTACATCTGTAAAACAGATGTGCGCACAACTCTCAGGTTTTGGAACAAGACTCAAGTCTAGAGGTGGACGAACAACCAGAAGTTTCTGCTGGGGTTTACAACTGGCGAGCGCAAAGAAGACTTATGATCCCGAGAGTGCTGGAAGTCACAGGTTCAGGCCCCGTTGAAGGCTGGGATTTTTTCATGTGGACCTAGTATTTCCCCCTTGTCTCTGGGTAGTAAGATCCATCACCCCAGTTATTGTTTGCGCACATAAAACATCCCTTGGCCTTAAATCGAAAAAAGTAGCCTAACGGTGCTGCCCAGGCAAAATTGGGAGTTAAAAATCTACCCAACATATTTCAGGATACTCGCTGGTGCTATGGAGTTTACACACTGCGCTGAGATTCTTCTAACTCTGGCCTGAATAATAAGTAGAACGGAGCACTTATGGGTTACTACCCTTGTGTCATGATATTGAGTTTTATAAACCACTAGCTGTACCCAGCCACGCGTTGCTGTGGCATAGTGTGGCTGAATGGAAAAGAAAGAAAATAGAAATCACACGTGTCTAATATGGTTACTGTCGCAATTATTGTCTGCGCACATACTGAGATAGTCTTTGATGCCCCTTCCCAAAACCACCTACTACTCGCTCCCTCATCAAAGCTTTTGGAAAAGAAAGACAATAGAAATCGCACGTGTCTAATATAGTTAATGTCGCAATCATTCTCTGCACAGATATAGAGATAGTCTGGTTTGCCACTTTAGAACACGCAACATATAATTGCGTCTTTATATTAGTGGTCGTTTAAGTGGTATTATTAGCACAGTAAAAAAAATGGTTTTTTAGTTATCACATGCCAAAGCTGTTTGTATTTTTTGTAAGAGACGGAAGTAAAGCTTACTACTGTATTTGTAAATAACCAAGTAAGTCGTTAAAAAAATGAGAATAGCGGAGGTTGCGAAATGGTCAAATTTAATTATCAACTGGTTTACCCACATACTTGTATTTTTTTTTTAAAGTATTTATAGCCACATGGCTAGTGCTATCGCTACGACAGAGCAGGTCTGGGTTTTATTTTGCCCCGGGTTTTAAAAAAAAAACTGCCTTACTGGGGATTCGAACCCTCGTCTCCTGTAAACTCTGTTTACTAACCATTCGACCAGCCAACCACTGCTTCTGAAGAACGAAAAGAGAACAAAACTACCCAAGATATGTGTCCTGATTCTAACACAACTCAAAACCGCAGGCAATTGTTTTCTCATAAACAGATATCCCAGATATAAACTTCAAGTATTATTGAAACGGCACAATAACAGAAATCGTACGTGTCTAACACGGTAAATGTCGCAATCATTTTCTGCGCAGACCAATCCCCCCCCCCTCTCTTCCCCATTCTCAAATCCACCGACTACTCTTTAACTCATCGAAGGTTGTTTAAAAAAAAATTGTGTCTAATATGGCTAACGTCGCAATCAGCGATATAGAGATAGTCTGGTTTGCTGTACGGGCGGATGTTAAAAATAGAGCGTTCTGTGTCTACTGCGTATGCACTGTGAAAATCGATCGCCCATACGCATTTACTAACGTGGCTATAATTAAATGTCACTAAAAATGGAAATATTAGTTTCTAAGATTTTTGAAACAAATGTGGTCAACTATCTCTAACAATGACATGTAGAATTTCAAACCATGATGGGTAAACATCCGGTATAAAAACAAACATATCCTGAAAATTTCAGCTAAATCGGTTCAGTAGTTTATGAGTCTATAGCTCATAAACAAACACACGAACATTGATTTTTATATATATATATAGATAAACCAAACTGATACCCTTACTGTACCTCCAGCAGGGCCACCAAAAACACATCCCACTAAACATGCATGGTGAACATATCTGGCATATTAATACACAAATGTTTGGGATTAACCTATATGGTAAGTATAGGATAACTGAGTAGCTCAGAAATGTTCGCTAAAAATCCTAAGGTTGACATGTACACCTCCCTTTACGGAGTAAATTCTTGGGTGAACAGTGCTTATGTGGTGTACATTGCGAGTAAAGATTTAATACGGGACAAAATATTGTACATTCCCTACTTCCATTCAAGATAAATATCCGGTTTATTTTTAATTAATAAATGACATCCTAATCAACCATTCAGGAGAATATATGTATATGTATTTATATGCCCGGCTTGCTAGTGTAGTTGGCTAAACCTGACTTGGCTGTGACCGGGAAATGAACTAACTCCTTGTGGTCCAGGTTCAGGTCCAGGGGTAGGCAGAAAAACCACATTTCTCCCAGATATAACGTATCTATCATGGAATCAAGGCCAAAGGTTGCGATACACATAGTACCAAGCCAAAATGTTAACTTCTGAATTAAAAAAAAAAAATTATATATATATATATATATATATATATATATATATATATATATATGTGTGTGTGTGTGTGTGTATGTATGTATGTATATATATAGATATATGGTAAAAGTGTTTACAAATGTCTGATACCAATAGAGAGAAAAAATGGGAAATTTTATTTTAAAATAAAACCCTGATCGACCGAGCCAACAAATGGGTGTCTGGAAATGTTCTGGGAAGTGCACACCAGACCCAAGTTCTGGAGCAAGACTAAAGTCTAGAAGTGGACAAACAACCAGAACTTTCCACTGGACCCCCAGTGAACACCAAGAAGAAGGCTCTGCATACGGAAACGATCGGCAAATTTACGTCGAATCAAATAACATTTGTGATGTTCCAGACAAGGTACTTTTGTCGAGGTCACTAATGTCAAGTGGCAGCTGAGCATCATCATCATCACAGACATGTTTGGCACGGTTGACCAATGCTTCCACAACCTGCTGCAAGGACTTCTGAACCTCTATTTGACCGCTGGTCAAGTGGGCCATGCTTTGGTCACCTAAAATATCTTGTAAGGCACTGGGATCTTTGATGATGATGTTAATTTCATTGTTTTCATCCACCACAATTTCCACATTAGAAGGATCTTGTCCTAGAAGATCCACAGGTATTGCATGCTTGGTAAAGTGCTGATGGTCTTCACTGACCAAGATTTCAAAGTTTGCACTTTCATGTGAACCAACAGACATTTCACATGTAACAGTTTCCATCATCTGTTCAACTATCGGCTCTATGATTATATTCTGGGATGTTTCTGTATCTTCATCCATTGGTTCAGGTTTTGTAACAATGCCGTTCACTAACTGCTGGATTGTAGTGTCACATTTCTGAGCCCGTGTGCGGTACTGCTTGCGGACTTTGTTCACTTTTCCTAATCTCCTATTATAAAGCTTCACTTGAGAAGGGGCAATTGGAACTGGTGCTTCCAGTTTCATTTGCTCTTCATACTGATAGAAGTCCTCTTTGTGGACCCTCTGCACGTGCATCTGCATGTGTTTTCTTTGGGTGCATTCTTTATCACACCACATGCAGCGATAGTGTATCTTCTGATCATGAGTAACCTTATGCCTTTTAAGATGACAATGCAGAGCAAATGAGACCTCACACTGATCACACTGGTATGGCTTCTCGCCAGTGTGCTGCGCCAGGTGAATACGATAGTTTCCCTTCTGTGAAAAACCGCGGTCGCAATACTGGCACTTGAATGGGGTTTCTCTAGTGTGGATGAGAACATGGACACGCAGCTCAGGCTTGGTGCGGAAACTCTTGCCACAGACGGTACAGCAGTGTGGCCGCTTATCTGTGTGACAGCGCTTGTGTTTCTGTAAGTAATCGTTGAGTGCGAAGGACATCTCACACAAATCGCACACAAAATTACCAGTGCTGTGGTGGACTTTTCTGTGTTTGTTCAGTTTTTGAAGGGTCAGGAACTTCTTTTTGCAAGATTCACAGCTGTAAACAGCATCTTTTCTATGTCGCTGAACATGCTGTTTTAGCAGTGTTGGGTTTTTGAAGATTTTATTGCAAACGCTACACTCTAATTTCATATTGACATGAATTCTGATGTGGGTTCTCAGAGCTTTAATATCCGTGTGTGTTTTAGGACAAGAGGGGCAATGGTAATTCCCCTTCTCATCTTGGTAAATATCAGAATCATCTCTCCCAGCTTTCCTGTATGCAGTGATGTCTATTTCACACTTTTTCAGAGCATCCTTTACTATACCATCTTCTTCTTCTACAGGCAGGCCAGTATCTACAGCATGATTCTCTAGCAGGTGTTTCTCTAAAGCTTTGTAACCATACACCAGCTCATTGCAAATGATGCAAGTATTTGACAGTTTTGTAAAACCTGAATCTTCATGAGCTTCTGACATGTGCCTTCTCCACCCATGCACAGAACTGCACAACTTTGGGCATAAATGACACTGCAGAATCTTCTTTTCAACCTTTTTAACACTGTCTGGCATTTCAAAGTCACTCAACTGCTTCTTCTGAAACTCTAAGAACTTTTTTGTGGGTGGGAAATGATCCTGACAATTAAGTGAGATATGCTTCTGCAGATACTTGATGCTGGCGTACATTTTACCACAGTTAGGGCAGCCAATGCCAGGATGGGCTGTCTTCCAGTGCAACCGTCGTTCTTGAATTTTGTGAAAGAAGAGACCACAAAGAGTGCAGGGCAGCAGTTTCTTCCCCATATGGTTTTTGATGTGTCTGTCCAGCATGAACTGGTAGGGATAGGTTTCTGAGCAGAGGGTGCACTGAAATGCACCAAGCATCCTAAGCACCTCGAAGCTCTCACCATGAACTTGGTTCCTGTGTTCTCTGTAACTGTTTGCAAACTGAAATGTCTCTTCACACTGTAAACATTTGAAACTTGTTTCCTTTCTCTCTACGATATCAGCAGCATCATTTTCAGGTGACCTCTCTGACATTTTTCCCTCATCTGGCTTGAATATAAACTCTTTTTCCTCGATACTAACTGACAAATTAGATTTATGTGGTGGCCATTTTGGCTTCATTAAAATAAAGAAACTGTTCTTATTAGCTTCTGGGTCCTTGTGCAAATTGGCATCTTGTGCATTCTGTAAAATGATTTCATTCTTCTCCAGTTTCTCTTGAAGCTTTTCTCGGTGGCCAGGTGGGTAATATTCGTGGTGTTCGTCTAATTTATGATACCACAAACCCGAGTATGTAGAAAATTCTGTGCCACAATGATCACATTCAACTTTGCCGCTCTCATTTTTAACAATATTGGAGTTTAACAAATCATCTTCAGTATCTTCGCTACTGTCTTCCACATCTGTTTCCTCCACTGACTCTTTTATGTCATCATCTATGTTACCACTGTCACTTTCTTCCACACAATCTGTTTCAAAAGACTTGTCAGACAGTCTGAAAATTGAACTGCTTTCATTGTTCACCTCCAAAATGTCCGTCCGTTTCCTGAAACGAGCGCCATGGCAGTTGTGGTTGATGTGTCTTCTCAGCATGACAATATTTGTGAACTGTTTACCACAAAGGCCACAGCTTCGCGTTGGGTGTGACATCACCCAGTGTTCTTCTCTTGACTTGTGTGTAGCAAAGGTTTCCTTACACAGAGTGCACCTGAATGTCTTGACCTCACTGTGTCGCTTCCGTTTGATATGAATGTCCAGCATAAACTTGTATGGGAATTTCTGGTCACAAAACTCGCACTTGTATTCTGCTTTATTATCTGTCTTGTTCAGTGAGGTTTCAAAATTATCAATAGTTCTACTGTGGGCGTATTTATTATGCTGCAACCAGTTATTAGTTGACAGAAAGATATTTTCACACAAGTCACAGAAGAAATATCTATCTTGGGGATATGATTTAGGAGGATTAGAAATCTGGTTATCATCTGAAAAGCTTCCACAAAAATTGACTATCCTGTAATTTATTCCCTGTTCAGACTTATGAACCATCAGCCCATTTCCTTTTGCTTCTAATTTTGGTTCCATTATGGTGTAATAAATGGATGAGCTACAAGCATTTTCAGTCAATTCATTACCTAAATCCTTGGTTGCCTCCGCCGCCAGGGTTAGGGCTTCGTTAAGCGATCGTTTTACTACTGGGTCAACAGGTTCATACTTCTTTAAAGTTTTGGGCCCTCTTAAGCAATTGTTACTCATTCGTTTTTTCTTCTCATCCACTGCAGCTTTTTTATGTCCATCTTGCCCGTTGATGGGTTCACAATTTGTTTTTGAGTCAGACTCCTTCTTGGGATTTTGTGTCTCTGCACTCAGAATTAAGTCATTATCATCATCATCATCATCCATATTTTCAGGAACATCATGGTTTTCATCATCATCAACAATCCCCTGGCAAGATGTTTTGCTTGGTTTGTTTTTGTGTGTTTCTGCAGCTAGCGCCAGCGTCATTAGCTGGGTGTTCCATGACGACGAAGACGACACAATTTTCCCTAAAGTTATGCTATCCACAAAATCATCCCCGAATCTACAACTTTTTGCTGGTGTCCTCGTAGACCTCCTTGGGTGATGGTGGCTAAAGCCGGGTTTTTCTTTCACCTTTACAGATAGTTCACTGAAGTCTGTTCTTTTGGAGCTGTCACAGAGAAGTTTCAATTCTGATACTGAAGAATTATTGTTAGATGAGAAACCGCCTTTTGTTTTCACCTCTGATGACAAAACTGAGGACTGTTTTTGTTTTGATGGCCTGCCTCTACGTTTTACAGGCTTATCGGAAACTGTGGTGGAATCAGGTTCACTTGAATGCGACCCTCGCACTTTGGAACCTACTGATTCATTTTCGAGGTCCATTTGCGAAGATTGGGGAAGGTGATTAGGCAACAATTTATCTCTCTGGCCACCATTACTGTCTTCTGCAGAAGGCGTAAAAGAACTCAAGAGCTGGCTAAGATCTATTTTTAAGTTTCCAGATTCCTGCTCAACAACAACTTTTTTCAGAAACTGAGAAAATGGCATTTTCTCAGAGCTCAAACCGTCTTTCGTTTCAATAGTTATAAATGTATCTGAGACATCCAAGTGTCTATCTTTAGTGTTACCTTGAATTAAATCAGGTAAATTTGAAACCAGGTGTTCATTTCCAATTTTTAGATGATGTCCGCCAAATGTAACTACATTGCTACACTGGTCAGATTCAGCTGAAGAATTATCCACAATCTGATTCTTTGTGATGCTGTGAGGTACGACATCAGATTCAGGGGAATAATTATTCATATCCTGATTCTTTGTGATGCCCTGAGGTATGCTATCATATTCAGATGAACTGTTACTATAATGAATTTTGTTATTTCCAGATTTTCTAACAGTAACAGAAGCATCTTTTGTCATCAACTGTTCATCTGAAGTATGAAATGAATCCACACTTAAAGCTGGACTGTACGACTTCTGTTTCTGTGGCAGAAATGATGAGGATGATTTTGGAGAAGATGTGACATCAGTATCATTTAAAACCAAATCATCCTCACTTCCGTTAACTGCCACAGTGTTTAAATGCTTGCCAAAAATATTTTGTTTACAGTTTTTCTTTTTCCCAACACTGCTTTCAGCTTTTATAGTCTCAAGACTTCCGGTAGAGGCACACTGTTTACTTGTATTTTGCTGTTTCTTAGAGCCAAAACTGAAAAAAGCATTTGACACAAGATCCAGACATTTCGCAGTCGGTTTTCGTTGCCTTTGCATTCTTTGAACCGCAGCTGGTTCTTGCTTATTCCTCTTCATGTCTAAATGCCTCCAATAACATCTGAAATGAGACAATGAAATTTACCATAAGCATTACTAATTCAACACACTGTTAAACATCAAGAGTTTTAAAAGGAAAAGGTTGAAATAATATGTTTATTTCCAATTAGGAATCAGGTTGCCATGGTACTATCAAGTACACTGATATCAATTCTTGATTTATTCTTTTATAAGAAACAAGTGTCTTTTTCTTCTTCTGCCTTTCGATCCCCCAATGGAGCATAGGCCTTCAACCAACTCATGCCAAGTCGTTCTATCCTTCACCATTGCATGGAGCTCTCCCCATCATTCTAACTTCATACTCCAGCTCTCTTCTCCGTGTGTTTTTTGGCCTTCCTCTATTCCTATGCCCCTGTGGGTTCCAATGCAAAGACATTCTAGTTATGCTGTTATCTTGTTTTCTCAGTGTGTGCCCTATCCAACGCCAGTCTTTTCCTCACCTCTTGGTCCACTGGAGCCTGTTTAGTTCTCTCCCAAAGCTCTACATTAGTTATTCTATCATACCATTTAATTCCCTCTATTCTGTGCAGGCACCAGTTAATGATTGTCTGTAATTTATTAGTAATTGTCTTAGTTGTTCTCCATGTTTCCGCCCCATACAACAGTACTGATTTGACATTTGAATGTAAAATTTTTAGTTAAAGAAAAAGGTGTATAGGTTAGAAAAGTTATGAGTTGGGTTAATCTTCACGGCACTCCAGACATGTCCATAGGTGCTCAGATTCACCCTTCAACACATAATCAGTCGCCCATAGTAGTGCCAGTCCTATGCTGACGGAACAAGCTTCTTGCACGTCCTGTGTCTCTCTTGTCTGGCCGTAGTGATATTTACTCCCAATTCTTGCATTTATTGTAGTGATGCGGACACACTATTCTCAAAATCGTCCTATCTCTTCAAAGGCATTAACAATGTCAGTAGGATCCATAGGCCAGCCATCTGCAGCTAAGACAGAACTGGCCAGTCTATCAGTTCTTTCACTGCCAACAACACCTGCATACACTGGAACAAAGATAATGCTTACTTCATTCAGTGGAGTTTTGCTTTGACTCAATACACTGTCTTCCACAAGTGGGTTCCTGGGCCCTATTATAGGAAAACAAGAACAGACCCACTGACTGCCCAAAATCATGTTTCTTCCAAGTTGAGGTGCATCTGCCTGAGAGGCAAGAAACCAGCAGTCTGAATAAAAATAAGTCACATCTTAAAATGGATGCGCATGCAACACTCGGGTTCTGGAATAATACTGCAGTCCACAAGTGGACGAACAACCAGAACTTTCCGCCAGAGTTTACATCTGGTGATCGCGATGAAGAAGAGAATCATTGTTTTATTATTTTTAAATTCACAGATTATTCTAGTAAACCTTCAGTAGCCTCCTGAAAGGGACAAACCGATAAATCAACACAGAAAATCACCAAAAGTGTTGAAGGGGGGGAAAATCAAATTCTAACACAGACAAAGCATCCAATTTCCGAAAACAGCTGAAAAGTTTTACAAATGCCTAGGTTTTAAAAAAAGGTTAGCCTCACCCATGTTAGCCTCAACTATACAGTCAGGAAACACTGAGCACTCGGGACACCCCCATTAGCGCTCCGTCCCTATCTTCAGCTGCAAATGAAGAGTTCCAATTCCGGTGACACCAGTAACTGTCTGACTGTATATCCATCTTTCCATTCCCTTGAATGTTGAACGTCGGCCAAATCTCCTCATACCGTATAGATCTATTTGCTCATCCACACTGTTCAGTGGCTCCCTGAGGGTCCTCACAACGTCTAGCTTGTCATTCATCAATTCACCACTAAGTGGTGCAAAACCGGCCAGTCTATCTGCCTGCTAATTTTCCAACACACCAGCATCACCTGGAGAGAATATCCAAAGGATATTAACTACCCGGAACCTGTGAAGTGATACCTGCCATTTTGCACGTAGCATGCCTGTCTCCACCTTTATCAACATGCTCTGCGAGTCAGTGACAATCATGGCATGTGTGTACAGCTGATTCTCAAGCCAGCGGAAAGCAGCAGTGACTGCCTCCACCTCCATTCTCAAACTAGACATGATATCATGTGCCAGAATTTGAAGCACTAAGCGACGTCCATTCGCCTTTGCTATTTAACCCCCATGCTCTGCGTCTACCCCTTAACACAGAATTAAACAATTAAAACTTAATGGTTAAGTTAAACATTTTATTGGAAATGTTAAAGAAGAATATCTGCCAGGGATAATCAAATTGTTCTTCACAACAGAAGCTGCGCATCCAAATCTGCTTCAGTGGTCTGCACTTTATTACTAGTTTATTATAAATTATTTTATTACTATTACATTATATTTGTTTAAGGAAAATTTATTGGCTATCCTCTGAATAACAGTCCCAAATAGAGGCTAAGAAAATACCCTAACAGGGCCTCAGTCATATGTAAATTGCGGACCTCTTTCCGGCGACTATACCGCCACCGCTGAAAGAATCCCCTGTGCCGAAAGTGCGCAATTTAAGACAATGGAAGTGCGCAACTGACACGTGATTGAGGCCCTGTTAGGGTATATTTTCCGCCTTTATAATTTGGACCGTTATTCGGAGGATAGCCAAGACATCTATTGATGTAGTATACTATATGATATAGTTTCAGTTACACTTACACTAATCAACAAGAAGAAACGCAGGCCCAATAATTGTTTGTATTTTTTTTTAATTTTATGTAATTAAAAATCAAAAATCATAAAATATAAAAATAAATTTTTTTTTTAAGTCCCTTGGTACTCATTCTGACATTCTCATTGAATTTTTAAAATTTGATTATTATTTTATTATTTGATCCACTGGCGCTACTTTGATCCATTCCCCAAAATGGCGGCATGCCACATTCTGGCCATAAAATATCCAAAAATATCCGAAAGACAGTGTTCCCGTATATCTAAAATACGGACTGTCTGCCAAGGGACAAATAATCACGGCAAAACTAGGATTACTTGACAATCACTATTAACATTGCACACGGTACTAGTAGCAGACGATAAATACCGACCGTTGACAACAATTTCGAGCGTTTCTGCGACTCCGATACTAGCAGACGATATTAGCGACCGTTGACCAATTTCGAGACATTACAGACGATGAAAACGATTAGCAATATTGTGTTCTTCTGATTGGAGGATTTAGCAGCGGTAGATGTCAGACTTGTCGGCATGCGCCAAACGCGATTAAACTTATCGCCGAGCGTATCTAGGTGCCTGGGACTCACGAGTACAGTAATTGGAGGAAGTTGCAGGAGATGCGGTAGCTGCCACTCGTGAGTCCCAGCCATCTAGTTTAGCCCCCATCCGCGCCGCGCGTAGCGGCGCGGGGGATACGCTCGGCGGTGAGGCACACTCGCAGAAGCAGGTCGGCAAGCAACGTATCGCCCAGACCCTGTCAGAGCATTTGTTTCGTTATTCGGAGCCGGCACATATATTTTTAATAGAGTTGACCCCGCATTCGGATATTTTTGGATATTTTATGGCCAGAAATTGGCCAATTTAGCTTCTTTTTGAACGCCATCATATTAAAGCCGCCATTTTGGGGAACGATTCAAAGAAGCGCCGATCCACTGAACAACTAGTCTAGTAGTAGTACTTAAGTACCACTAACTTATTAACTAGTTGATCTACTGAACCACTAGTCTAATACTTCTAACTACTAGTACTTAGTACTAGCATTAGACTCATTCATTAGTTTAGTTACTAAATTGAGTCAGTGTTCCGTGTCTTTTTCAGTTGAGCAAAAATTACACAACACGTCTAGCGATGAAAATTATTTTATTTTTTAAAACTATTTTTTAATTATTAATATAAGTATATATCCGTAAACATTTATTTATGTCGTGAAGGTAGTAACTTACAAAAGATAATAGTAGTATCACTACAAAGATTGTGTAAAAGGAAAACACTTACCAAAATACTAGTTTTACGTTCAATTAACCGCACATATTTGGATGCATTGTGCGCGATCAAACAAGGTTGAAACTTCTACAAACATGGCGTCTACTGGCTGATTACAAGTTTTTATACAACGTCACAGACAGTGCGCATGCTCGACTCTGGTACAGCCTGCCTGGAGAAACTCCCGTTGTCGAGCAGATCAGCGACTGTGTCGCCCATTCACTCGCCGGTAGACGACTTCGTCACAGGTCGGGATAGTGTTGGGGTCTGTCTCCTTTGATCGCATCAACACTTATGACCTTAAAATGTTGAATTAAGAATCGACATCACATCACTCGGGACACCCCCCCCCATAAGCGCTCTGTCCCCATCTTCAGCGGCAAGCGAAGATTTAACATTCCGATGGTACCAGTAATTGTCTGATTGTATATCCGTCTCTCCTTTCCTTTGAGTGTTGGCCAGATCCCCTTTTAACTCCTCGCAGTGCCATTCTCCTCAGACCGTGATGATCTATTTGCGCCTCGGCACTGTTCACTCGCTCCCAAAGGGCCCTCACAATATCCAGATTGCCATACATCAGTTCACTACCAAGAAGTGCAGAACAGGACAGTCTGCCTGCTAATTTCCCAACGCACCTATCATGACCTGAAGAAAGTATCTAAAGGATGCTAACTACCAAGGACCTTTGAAGTGATGCTTGCCACTCTGCACGAACCATGCCTGTCTCCACCTTTCTCAACATGCTCTGTGTGTCAGATATAATAACGGCATGTATGTACAGCTGATTCTCAAGCAAGTGGAAGGCAGCAGTGACTGCCTCTACCTCCATTCTCAAACTAGACGTTGTGATATCATATGCCAGGCTTTGTTGCACCAAGCGACGTCCATTCGCCTTCGCTATGAACCCCCATGCACTTCGTCTGCCCCTCAAAACAGAGCCATCTGTATAGATAGTAACATCACCTGGGCGGGCCCTGCATTCACGTCCCAAAGTGATTAGAACCCTTTTCAAGTAATTATGACCTAAAGCTCCCCTTTCAGGGATGCTGGTTGAAAGTGGCGGTTTTTTTGTTCTACCAGCAAAACACCTGCCTACCTTCAGTTATGGCTGCCTTCGCTTTCCACAGAACACTGACTTACACACATGAGCATTTACTATATATGGCCTTTGGAGATTAGTGCAAACTATCACAGTACTGTAGACAGATCCATAGGTGCTACGATCTCTCCCTCATTAGCTCCAAAAGAATAAAACGACCGATCACAGCCGTTCTGTTTTGATTAATCAGACCCCTTGTGCCTTTGGCTAAATGTTCATGTCTGGTTGCCCAATGTTGCACCTAATGTCCGCCAAACTGGACAAGGAAACTGAGTCCTGTCTGTTGTAATCTTCGCGATGTGCATTTCGCATGGCATTGATCTCTCTTTCTTCTTTGTTCATCGTCTGTAAGCTCCGGCGGAAAGTCGTGTTTTTTCGTCCTTTCCGACTTTAGCTTAATGCAAGGGCCTGAATTGTGCGTGTACATCCGTTTTGCTGGCTTATTTGTGCACAGTTGGTTGTTCGTTGCTGCTCCGGAAAATGCACCCCGACGAACCCACAGGGAAACACGGCGTTGCTGATTGGCTCTTGTTTTACGATTAATGAATGTTTTGGAGACCAGCTTCTAGTTTATGCTTTATAGGCTTTATTCAAAGTCCGACTTCTGGCGTGTTATTTACACAAATCACTTAGGCTAGATTATAACTTATGATTTATTGTTAAGCAACGATACGAAGGATATAAATTCAATAATAATAACAATCCAAACATATTTATGTATTAAAAGCAAAGCATAAGGGGGATGCTGTATAAGAGGAAATGGAGAACATAACTATAAAGGATAATATAAAAATCTACTCCTCGAACGTATCTCTATTCAGCACCTACAAAAGCTCCAACAAACATGTCCTGGTGAGTGTAAGCCAACCCACACTCAAGCTGCCGCAGTACAAGAAAAACAACAGGCATGGTCTAAAACCAAAAGTGTCTTAACCCAGACAGGATATGTTCTGTATGAAGTCTAATCATATAATACGAGCGTAGCATGTGACGTTTGGGAAGCCCAACGTACGGATGTCAGATTAAGCAGATGTGTGACTATTCCATTGGCGAAGCCATGAACAGAGCGTCTTGTGTCGGCTACGCTTCTATGGGAGCCTGCTTGGATAGCGGGAATGCACCTGTCTTATCTCAATGGTTGACCAGTCTACAACGGTTAAACTGGACGGGTTCTCCAGGGGCAACACCTGTAGATAAGCGGTCAAAGATACCACAAATACAAGGCTACGCAGAATTTAACCGGGTAAACAAATGCTCGCTGAAGTCGGATATTTCGACCAAAAGGCGAAAATATTGCAGCCTCGACATGAACAGTCACAGCGCAATTACATCACTCAGACGAACGGGAAAAAAAAATAGAAATGCACAAGACAGTCGTTATAATTGCCAGCATAAATATTCTACCCTAATCATAGCGCAGAAGGTGAAAATAAAGCAAATGACTTTTCTTTAACACCTTACGAGTACTGGACATACATGGCTATATTTTATAGACCAATCACCACACGTTTGGTGATTTGGTCAGTATCACATTGGCCGCCTTTATTTCCCAGGACCGTAGCTGGTTTCTATTTAGGGATGGGTCGACTTATAACAAAATTCCGTCTTTTCAGGACTGGAACCCAAGACCTTCCAGATGCTGTGAGCTGGTTAATATCTGAAATAATAATTATGCAAATTACATAAATGATTGAAAGAAATGCGATTACACCAGATATAAATAGTATACACTTAAAAAAAACGCGCACTAAATATTCGGATTTAAAAATAAGAGCTGAACAAGATATTACGTATGTAACATTACTACTACTCTGAATCAACGTCCAGTTCTGAGTTACGATTTGGGTTATCTTCACGGCACTCCGGACACGTCCTATGGGCCATGATTCCCCCTTCAACATATGTAGCAGCATTTCGCGGTTGATAATCCCAGTAATATGTTGGATGACTAGATTTCTCGTGCGTCTGGTGTGCTTTTCGTGCCAATCCCGTGCGGTATATTTTTTTTTTCAGTAGAATGAAAGCCATTGAAATGCCACCGCTAATAGCTTGCCGCGATCAGATCAAAAATTGAAAGTGTATTTTGATTTAATTGCTTATCTATTTCTGCATCATCGTATGAGACGGCCCTGACAACGCCATTCCAATAGATGCAAGTAGTAATGTAGTGATGGGGGAAGATTAAGACAGTTGTGTTGTTCGTTACCTTGAGCTTCAGCGAGGGCCGTCACAAACAAAGCATTTGCCCCTTAACAGTTTTCTTACTGGGGGGGGGGGAGTTGTTTTTTTTTTTTGGGGGGGGGGGGGAGTCTGCTGTTAAAGATTAGAAATAAATTTACAGATTTTGGGACATTCGTAGAGGGAAGTAAATGAAGATCATTTCTTGTTTTGTTTTTTTCCCGAAGTTTAGCTTGCTTTGGAAAGAATTATCTGGCACCACCGCAAGGGGCAAACTCTTCCATTAAAGAGTCGGACAAATCCAGCGGTGTGCTAGAAGGTCATACTGTTTGTAGCTGTATATCTTAATAATTCAGTACTGGTAGGTTTTGTCACCAAGACATTCACACCATGCTCAGAATACTTCAGAAACGGGTGAGTTTGTACAAGAACAACAGTAACCTTAAAGGCTTATTTGATTTGTCTGTATTCACAGAAACCTTGTATTTACATATTTAATGATAATTCACACAAGGTGTCTAAAGTTTCTTAAAGACCAGCACCAGCGGTGACATGACGTGCTTTTTCAGAAGTCTGCCTGTCTGAGTTGATATAATTGCTTCCCTCTTTTTAAAAGTACACTAGCAGTTAATGGTAATATATTGTTAAAATTAAACAATTGCAGCATTTTTTTTTAGTAACATCTGTTCTGAACACATCTTTCTTTCTAGTGATTTTTTAGGAGTCACCTGAATTAAATTTAAACAGTGCCTATTCACTAGCTACTTCAGTCAAATTTTTAAAATGCCCTCTACATCAATAAAACCAGCACAGTTAGATAGCTGTAAACAATCTCTTTCCAATGGTACCTCAATTAGGCTTGTATGTCATTTCTGAGCTGAGATATGTAGGATTTTGTGGAGATGAGATGTAATAAACAGTCGCTAAAACTTGTGACCCAGAAACAAGTTTTTCTCTGCGCAACCTACTGCGCAGTTCTGTATCGGCTTTGTTGACATTGGACTGTCATTGGACAAGATGGCAGGCAATGAGACTCAGCCGCATGCGATTGCCTAAAAAATGTCACTGTAAATTTAAACAGCCAAAAACGGGAAAGAAATTTTATATTCAAATGTAAAATTGGACGGAGAATTCAATTATAACTAGCATTACCATGTCTGGTAATGTTTAAGGCCAAAGCCAACCTTGAATACTTTACCGCTATTTTCAATCAAACTGATGTAACAGAAAAACAGAGGACGTCCGGCTGTCGTAGACATGCGCTGTTAATCGGGTTCCTTCCCGCTGTTTTCAGCCATTTAGAGTGGGTGAAAATCACACCAATCGCAAAATTTCATGAGAGATTAGGACCCATCCCGAAACCCCAGCCGACATTTTCGAAACAAGTATCAACCGGTTTCCATGGTAGCGGAAAATAAATCTGAATCACTGCAGATGCACTAACCACCACCCTGTGCTGAACTATACCATATAATATTTTTATGCTTTACATATAATTTTTCAGTTGCTCGCTTAAAGGTTCAAATCCGCATCAAAATAATGAAACAACAACTTAACCTTGGTTCCTAAAAATGCACTACTGCATGGTAGAATAAAAGCTAACCAGTGTATAACAGAATTACAATGCATCACTGCAGTTGTTAACCTCGAAAATCGCACTTAACCTCCCTCACCTGGATCTACACACCTGGTCATGCAGGTGTAAAGGGAAATGAGCGAGCAGACCAACTGGCAAGCATTGCACTAATACATGTGGGAAGAAGCATGGACAGAGTAGATATCATCAACCCTGTACGGACTGGGCTAGTGGATAATAATCCCTGACACTAGCACGATTGCGTGACAGGGGAGGAAAGCATGGTGAAGCACGACTATGCCATCTTCAAGGATAAGATAGACAATATAACTAGCTTCTTAATAAATGAACTATTAGTTGAAGTATTTTGGACTGGCTGGTGCATCAGAGGAATGAGCATTTGGAATGCCCAATGTGCAGTGACGTAGATTGTGACATAACCTTTCATTGTTTTTTGGGGTTTTTTTTCAGAATAAAATTAAAATATGTCCCATAATAATGAATTTGATATTTTTTAAATTGCCAGGTTACTACAGGGTTGATGGCTCAGTCGAGCCGGATGGCATCAAACACAGTAGTTGATTCTCCAGATCTTGCAGATGACATAGAATCTGACCCCAGGAAGCGAGTTCAGAGATGTAAGCTTTTCCTGTCTATATTCTGTGACTTCATAAATGTAACAACATGATTTGATATTATGTATAGACCTAAAGCACTCCACCCTGTTTCGTTCTGTTTTCAGTGGTTTTCCATTTTTCAGTGGCACATGTTAGAATAACTTAGTAATTTTTTGAAAAACCGTAACTTGATAACCATGTTTATGAATTTGACACATGCTGGAATTTTTAGATGTCTTTTTTTGACAGATCTGACACATTTGTGTGAGACTGTTGGTCATTGCCTCTCAGGCAGATGCACTCCGACTTTGAAGGAAGCTTCCAATCAGTTGACTCTTGCGACATGCTTTTGGGTAGGCAGTGGGTCTGTTATTGTTTTTTCCCCTATAATAGGACCCTGGAACCCACATATTTTGTTCGTTAATTCTACTTGTTCCACACACATTCTGCATATTCCCACCCAGTTGTCCTCAAGTTGTATTTATTTTGAAGTGACTGCTTTTTATTGTGTTTAGAATTTTTAACATTGTTACATTGTAAATAAGTTTACTCCCATCTTTTTTTGTTGTCAACTAGGTCTCAACAGAGTAACTTTGATTGGCAGGGTTGGCAAAGACCCAGAACATCGAGGAAATTCCACGCACCCCTGTATCATTTTCCCTCTTGCTACAAATGCGCAGTACAGAAAGGCTGATGGTTAGTTTTGGAAATTTGTTTGAATTAGTTATGGTTGAATTAAATACATTGCATAATAATCATCATAGGTCTGCAAGAAGCCCTGTAGAAAAATTAATAAGCAGATTGGTAATATTTAATCTATCAAGTTGTGGTTGATAGTGAGCAAAAACACAGACAATTTTTTAGAGTCAAAATAAAAGCACCTCTTTTATGCCAGTGAGACATGGGTTACTGACCTGTATCACAGCTGCATAGGCAGCATCTAACTGCACACAAATAAGCCAGTAAAATGGATGTGCATGCAAAACTCAGACCCTAGCACAAAGCTAAAATCCAAATGGACGAACAATCAGGACTTTTCCCCGATGCTTAAAGCCGGTGAACGAGGAAGAATTTGATTTTCAAATAGCTTGCTTTCCAGCTTTCTGCAGTATATGGTAGAGTTGTACCGCATGACTTAGTACAGGGAAAGAGAAAAGACAGGCCAGGAAAAACCCAGATCCAAAATTTGGCTGACTAGGTGAGCCTCAGGTATAAAAATATCAAATCCAATGCATGTGTCAGATGGGGAGGGATCTGACAGTCAGCAGTAAATGGTGACCCAACAATTTGCTGTATTCTGAGACTGTGATAATGAAAACGATAGCAGGGTTGAGTATACCTAACAAGTTTCCCTGTGTGTGTTCCAGGGCCCTGTTATGGGGAAAACAAGAATAGACCCACTGCCTCCCCATCAAGCATGTTGTAAGAGTTGACTAATTGGTGGTTACCTTTGAAGTCGAAGGGCTTCTGCTGGGAGACAAGGAACCGTCTACAAATAAGATAAATCTGTAAAATAGGTGTGTGCATTCAACACTTAGGTTCTGGAACAAGTCTAAAGAGGTTCTGGAACAAGTCTACAGGGGTTTGAACAAACAGAACTTTCCGCCAGAGTTTACAGCTGGTAAACATGAAGAAGAAAAAGACCTAACAAGTTACATTTGGAATAAAGTATTTATTCTTGTACCGATTGTTGAGATGTTGATGCAGTGTTAAATATTTACTGAAACATTTTGTTTGACTTGCAGGAGAACGTATGGTCAAGACAGACTGGCACAGAGTTGCTGTGTTCAGGCCAGGACTTAGGGATAACATTGCAACCAAAATTATGAAAGGGTAATGGCAGCTTTGAGTTGTTGAAGTATATATTGGCTTGCTGTATTTATAATTATTTTGTGACATTTCCTACTTGTTACATAGAACCAGAGGGTTATAAATCCTCACAGCTAAAGCAGGGAAGATGGTACCTTAAAACAGGGTTGTGTGGAATGTCTGGCTTATATGCTGTATGCCTTTAAATGCTCTTAATGGCGTTGTAGATACCTGAGGCGTTCACAACTGGTCTCCATTGCTTCCAGTCTGCTGCTTTTCTACCCATGGCATCCCATATCAGTTTACATTTCTTTATTTCCCTTTCTATGGTTCTTTTCCAGGTTTTCCTAAGTTAGTCACATCTTTTGTCTCCACCACCACCCCAACCCCCGATGTTGACCAAAAAGCTGTCCTAACCAGTGTCACAAAACACTGGGCAGACATGTCCATCTTCCTTTAATAACGTTTGCCAGTGATGAACATTTGTAGGCTGTATGAAGTCTACAGAATTGTCTGCAAATTAGCTAAAAGCTAATTTGTAACTCACCAGAACCTGAAAAGGGGCCTTCACTTGACTGCAGCTGTAAATTGAAGTTAGAAGGTGGAAATAATGAGGCAGTGTTATAACCACCACTGTCCCCATGTGGGTTTCTGACGCCCCATTTTACATGGCAAAGAATAGATGCAGTGCCTTTCTAACTGTCTTGTAAAATGCGACTAAATAGTGGTATTTGTTTTGAAGCTTGACAAGGTTAAGCAATGTCTGTAAAACGGATGTGTGCACAAAACTCAATTTCTGGTACAAGACCAAAGTCCAGAAGTGGACATGCAGCCAGAACTTTCTGCCAGAGTTTACAGTTGGTGAACACTAAGAAGCTGAAGAACCATTCCCAAATTGGAGAAAAGGGGTAAACGATCACAAACTGTCTTCTAAACAGTGTTTATGGTGATTTCACATCCAGTAGTGACATGTTATATGCACCACAGGGTCGATATTTGGTGGGTCTACACGCATACCTGAAGATAGGCCCGATTCAGCCATGTGGTCTTCAACAGAAAGGACAGACCTTAAAAAAGGGGTAAATCGTGGCTTTTCCAGGGAAGAATGTCAGGCAGGTTTGCAGTGTCAAGACATCCATGCTTGCCAAGAATGAATAGCTACAGCTCAATCCCACCTTCTCCTATATTGTCTGTCGTGCTTGAGCTGTCAGCAGCAGAGGTCCACATGCATATCAGTGACAGTTCAGATGAGGCCGATTTCAGGGCTCGTAGTGGGCCTTGAAATAAGGAGAAACCTGGGAATGTCGACCTATATCCCTAAGACGGGGAAACCCCAGGGATTTTACAAAAAAGGGCTGATATCCTTGAACTTTACGGGCCGTATCCTTAAAAAAAAATGAAGTGAGAGTTCAGTTTGACCTATTTTCTTTTGCCAACATATCACCAAGTCTAGAAAAGGCATTAAACACTATATTTGTATGTGTATATGTGCGTTTGTTTGTGCACGAATGAAAGCACTACTATGCCGGTGCAGTTTGGAAAGGGGGGGGGGGGGGGGGGGTACCTGAAAAACTCTTTGAAAACCCTTGAACAATTGGCTAAATTTGGTTAGGAACCATGAGGTGTGCTGATCTACACAGGCAGGTCTATTGTGTGAGGACACAGAAGTGTACAGGCATTCACAGTGTGCACAACAGTCCAGACTTTAATGTGGCTGAAATCACAGGACTGTTCCTGTGTGTGTGTACTGAGTGATTCTGTGATCTGACCAATTTTTACACAGACAGTGGATCTAGTCATTTCAAAACTATGAGTGGAGTTACTTTCATCTTTGCCCCTAGAGGTGTGTATGTGTGTTGTTAGCAATAACAGATCTGATCGTTAGTCGTTACTGCGGATCGCGCTGACATGTTAATGCCTTTTCTGAAAAGGACCACCAGATGAATTTAGGAGTGGCACGTCTACTTCACTGCCAAGAATTGTGAGAAAAAATAACCAGGTCAGCAGGGCACGTTGGATAAGTCTTGTCAACCAGATTGACACTACTACCCGAGTGATGCTGATGTATATGTTCAAAGGGAAATCGGAGCACCTATGGATGTGCTTAGAATGCCATAACCTGCTCCAAGTTAGTGGTGGATAGTATACATCAAAGCAACTTGATTCCAATTTGATTAATTAAACAAAATTTATAATTAGAAAAGAAAAACAATAATTTAACACTTGTATGCTTTCTTCCATTAGAGATCGACTGTTCGTGGAAGGTTCTCTCTCATATGTTAAATATACTGATCCAGACAACAAGATTTTGACCTCAGTCTCCATTAATGCCGGTGAGTATTGCCTACATATGTGTAACTTAGCATCTGGTCTGACACCAGCAGTACAGACATTAGTTATATCTGCTCTCTAGTGGTGCTGTTGTCACCTTTCCAAGCTGTTTTGGTTAGGAAAGATCAGTGATTTATAATTGTTTGTTGTAGTAGTCTACTAATAATAATAACCATCAATCATTTATATTTATGTTATGTATGACATGTGTATGTTTCATAGCAGTATTTTTATGCGCTAGGTTTGATAAAGTACAAATGTCACACACACACACACACCCCCCCCCCCTTCCGCTCCTCTGATGCAGCAATACCCTCTCAGAATCAAAGATTTATCACTATTTCTTTACTTTTGCTGGAACAACTTTTAGTTTACATCTAAACATTATTGATGTTTATGTTCATGTTGACTGTAGCAAAAGCATTTTGGTTTGTCTGTAAGAGCCTTTATTGTTATATTTAATTGGCACACTTATTTACCTTAAAAATGTTCTAAAAAAATATGTCGAAAATAATGAAACTGCAGTTTAATTTGTGTATACAACTCGATAAAAACTGTGGACGCAGAGGGACTCAATTCTTGCACAAGAAGGGGAATCCCCGTTGACCTGTTAGGCATTATTAGAGAAGGCTGTGAATCTTGGAGAATCGGTAGGCAGGCCCTCAGAAATGTGGTTTTACGGACGGAGGCTTAGAATACCTTGGACAGCCAAAAAGAGCAACCTAGAGGTTTTGAAAGAGACGGGAGCCTGAAGACAACTTACCACAGACATCAGAAGGAGACAGTCATCATTTTTCGGCCATGTTATGAGAAAAGAGAAAATAGAACATGTTGTGACCTCTGGAAAGATCTGGAAGGAGGGATAGAGGAAGACGAGAGAAGATGCTTGACAGTCTTGTTGCATGGCATGGAGGTGTGTCAGCACACGAACTGATACATGCTGCAGGAGATCGCAGATTGTTGAGAGGCATGATCGCCCACGCCAGTCGGCAAGGCACATGATGATGATGATGAATGTCGTGTAGTAAATTTGTGCAGGTATGATGTTGACAAACATCACTCATCAAGTGCCACTTGTTATTTAAAATGTCTAGGTCGGTGGTTCTCAATCTGCCTGTTTTGACCCCTTTGGGGGAAGGGGGGGGGGGGGGGGGGTCGAATGACCCTTCTCTGAGATTGGCCTAAGACCATGTGAAAACACATATTCATTGAAGTTATGGAGGAAAATAATGGTTTGGGAGGTTGCCACAACATGAGGAAACTATTAAAGGGTCGCGGCATTAGAAAGGTTGAAAGTACTGTTCTAGGGCTGTATGTCCCAAGTGCCAGTTGTTGTATAAAATGTCTAGGGCCGTATATCCCAAGTGCCAGATCTATAAAATGTCTAGGGCCATATTTCCCAAGTGCCAGTTGTTGTATAAAATGTCTAGGGCCATATTTCCCAAGTGCCAGTTGTTGTATAAAATGTCTAGGGCCATATTTCCCAAGTGCCAGTTGTTGTATAAAATGTCTAGGGCCATATTTCCCAAGTGCCAGTTGTTGTATAAATGTCTAGGGCCATATTTCCCAAGTGCCAGTTGTTGTATAAAATGTCTAGTGCCGTATTTCCCAAGTGCCAGTTGTTGTATAAAATGTCTAGGGCTGTATTTCCCAAGTGCCAGTTGTTGTATAAAATGTCTAGGGCTGTATGTCCCAAGTGCTGGTTGTTTAATAAAATGTCTAGGGCCTTATTTCCCAAGTGCCAGTTTTATGAAAATGGTACTTCCTTCTAATGTCTAGTGTATTTTTTTACTTGCTCACAATGACTTGTGCGCTTTTTACTTGCTCATATCTTGTGTACTTTTAAATTCTTTATTGTGTTCTCACTCGTCACAGATGAAATCATGATTCTTCAGCGTGCACATAACCCTGGTCAAGCAAGTGATGAGGAAAACTGAGTTTTCATTCATGTCATGTACATTGATAATTCAGGAACCAAATATTCATTGTTTTTTAATTAGTGAATAGCCACATTAAAACGTTATATAAATACATGGTTTCATGTCCTGTTTTTACTTTTGCATAACAAGTCATAGTTTACTTGTTAGATTGGGGGAATTGATTTAATTATGGTCAAGCCCTAAAATAAAAGAGGAGCCTCTGTGATGTAGCCGCTGGCCTCTGACACAAAGGTTGTGGGTTCAAATTAGTGCCGAGTCAGATTTAAAAAAAAAAAGGTTTTGGTCGACATCATCCACATTGGCTCTCAGGTCAACCTAGTCTAAATGGGCAGCAGCTAATGTCTTGGTATATGAGTGGTTGATGTGATGTTAACCACATCACCCCATCAAAATCCAGTTGGTCTATTTTAAAAAAAAAAGTTTAACGTAATATATGTACTATTGGCATGAAAAGGGTCCTTTACTTAAATATTATTTAAAAAAATATTGCTGCAGCATGCAGTATTGTTGCTGGTTTAGGTCTGATGGCTGTTCAAAATGAGGCTGCTCACCTAATCATTCGAGTTGTTGAGTGTTCAGAAATTGTAACCTTAACAGTAAACAATTTCTTGGGGGAAAATACAGCTAGGAAGAATAACGTCTTGTGGATAAACATGATTTACAATCTATCTTCACTAAGCGATGTGATAATGCTCTATTGGGTAGTAGTAAAGTTAGTCTTTCCTCTTGAGCCTATAGCAACATATAGGGCTGAGGTCATAGCTCTCCATGTCTGGCAGTTCATTGCCACCTGTTTTAATCTCAGATGTTTGTAAGGCCCATGGCTGGGCTTTCCCTGCGAGTTTATGGAGTAAAGAATAGGTACATTATGTCTAGAAAAGTTTGGTGCAGGAGAGCCTAGACTATACCACAACATCCAGCTTAAGAATGGAGGTTGAGGCGTCACTGCAGCTTTCCGCTGGCTAGATAACACGACACACACACCGTGATTGTAACGGACCCAGAAAGCTTGCTAAGGAAGATCAGAACAGGTATGCTTCGTGCAGAGTGGCATGCTTCGCTGCGGAGGACACGGGTGAGGAGTATTGTCTGGATTTTTTCACTGGGTACGCCGGTGTGTTGAGAAATGAACAGGTGGACAGACTAGCTGGCTCTGCAAAACTCAGTGAAATACTGATACATTAAGGGCAGACATGGTTAGTGCCTTGTGGGAGAGCGTATACAGTTAGAAGGAGCAATGGATCAGGTCTGGTGAGATTGATGCAGGGGGGAGTGATGAGAGGTTCTGGCAGATGCTAGAGGAAAGGTAAGATGGACGTTTAATCAGAATGCTACTGGTGCCATTAGTATCGGAACCCTTAGCTGGCTGCTGAAGATGGCGACAGCGCTTATGGGAATGCCCCGAGTGCTGTGATGTCGGTTCTTGAATCAAATCAAATAGAAAAGCAAGATCTGAAGTTCTTAATGGCATGAATATCACACCTCTTGTATGTATCTTCATAACAAAATTTCTTAATCAGCTATTGAACAGAAAATGTCAATTCTCTAGTGTGTGAAATCCTTGTGTAACCTCATCCTCATTATCATCATGTAGCTGGTCTTTTACAGATATCATGGTACATCAGAAATCTGTCGCCTTGTGACCAAAGTGTCTCAACTAATTATCTCCACTTCCCTATGTGATTTTGAGGCAAACAAAATGAACTGATTTACCACCCCTTAGGAGAGAAAGGATAACTAGGAGTTTGCTAAAGTCAGATGTAAACCACAAAACAATGTGCTGACCACCCTTTTTGGAAAAAGATATCTCCACTTTTTTCTTGCAGCCGGTGAATGCCAAGAGCCTGTAAAATGATGGTATTTTTCTTCTTGATTTGTGGCAACTCTCAAGCCGTACCAAAATTAATCAGCCCTTTCACTTGTGCATTTCAAAATCATGTCCTGGGAAGTGTAGATGCTGATCTAATGTTTACAATCGTGCAATAGAACTGAAATATAGCTTCTTTTTCGGCAATCAAAATTTCATGTCTGGTTCTAAACAAGTCTAAGCTGAGGAGGAGTCAAGATGAACACTTGTGTTTTCAACTGTGACTGACTTTTTGAAACCTGGGTATGACTAGACTTTTTTCTGTTGGAATAAAAATATAGCTTCTTTTTTCTAAGGCTCTAATCAGTAAAGATACTTTTGTGCTTCCAGCATGTTGTAAATGTTGACTGAGGGTGATTCCTTCAAAGTCAGAGTGTCTACTGAGAGGCTGGGAACCAATAGTTTGATCATAAATAAGCCAGATAGGTAAACTGGAATAGCAAGTTCCGGAACAAGACCAGAAGTGGATGATCAACCAGAACTTTCTGCTGGAGTTTACAGCCATATTACACTAACAAGAGAGGGAAGAACTTAGGCTTCATGACAAATTTTGTTTATTACTTACAAAATATATAAATCTCCTTCATCGTTGCAACAGCACAGATATTTCAAGAATAACTGAAAACTGTTGACAGCATATTCCTTTTTCGTGTTTACCGCCCGTAAAATTCAGTGGAAAGCTCTGGCTGTTTATTCGCTTCTGGACTTCAGTCTTGTTACAGAACTTAGTTTTCGCATGCACAAATGTTTTACAGATCTGGCTTATTTGTAAGCAGACTAATGGTTCCTCACCTTACAGACATGCATTATCACTGAAGGAAACACTTCTAATTAGTCAATCTTTACAACATGCAAATATGGGAATGACTGCAATCAAGCTAATACAAGGAATTCCAGTGAAATGTGACTAAAAAGCTCAGTGAAACATTTCTTGTTGTTGTTTTGTGCACATTTTTCTGCTTTTCCATTTTGTTATTCTTTTTAGTCACATTTCACTTTTGTCCTCTCCCAAATTTGGGCCCAGGAAAAACCCCACACACATATTTAACTAGCATAAAAAAGATGCATAGAAACAAATGAACACTAGCATACGAGTGATGTGGTACAGTGGTTTATTAATACTTGAGGTGTTTCTGAACTCCACTTGACATGTCTTCAGTACTGCACTAGAGCTGTAAGTGGCGATATTTAGCAAGAAAACATGCACTCGGTATTCTTCTTGAAATACTGGCCTGCCAATATTCTGGATTGGTACAACTTTTATTGCTGTTTACTCAGATTGGATGAGATAATTGATAACGATTCCAGCTAGCATGCCGTAGAAGCATCTATTGCAGAGTTTGTCCAGCCTGGATGTGAGATCATAAAAATTGCATAAATCGCAAATTGTTTAACAATTTTGATGTGACACAGTTTAACAATTCCAGCTAACATATCAGATGCCATGGGAGCATCTACTCTGGTGTTTACAACTGGAAGTGAAACTGTTCAATAGTTTCAGATGTCACAGAAGCACCTACTGAGTCTGAGATTCTACAATAGAGATGTGACACTTTTAACCATTCCAAATTTCACAGAAGCATCAATGGTAGTGTTTCTACAATAGGGATGTGACACTTTTAACCATTCCAAATTTCACAGAAGCATCAATGGTAGTGTTTCTACAATAGGGAATATGACATTTTTCAACTGTTTTAGATACTGTTGAAGCATCTGCTGTAGAGTCTGAGTTTATACAACTGGGATGTGATACTTTTCAAAACTTCCAGCTTACCTGCTAGAAGCGTCTCCCAGCCTCTCTCTAGTCCCCGATTGTAAACAGCTATTGTTCACTAACTTCTGTCCTGGAATTCATATTTTTATATAAGCATACCAGTGGTTCTCAAACAGCTGAGACCTGTATACCTCTCTTATTTTCAAATAACTGAAACTCATACTTTTCAGAGTCACACAGAAGAACTTAGGTATCTAATATAAATATATACAAACTACACAAAAAATAGAATGCATTCTAAAGTTGAGGTTTTTAGTTGTGCAAATGATAACACGACCCTTTAACTTTTTTTCTGTGGACTGCCAAATGAGAAATACTGGTCTATTCTATCCAAAGTGGCCTAACATGTCATGCTTCTGTTTTTTTTTTTCTTCTAGTCTAGTGCAATAAATTTTGTGTTAGGGTTTCTCAATTTGTTGGAGGCTGGAGGTCTAATGTTTCATACTACAATGGCCCCGTGTATCTTTTGGGCCCACTGTGGGGAACAAGAATAATCCACCGCCTCCCTAACAAACATGTCGACTAATTAGGGGTTTCCTTTTAAGTCAGACTGCTTCTGCCTGAGAGGCAAGGAAACAACAGTCTGCATACAAATAAGCCAGATCTGTCACGATCAATGTGCATGCACAACTTAGGTTCTGGAACAGTTCTAAAGTCCAGAGGTGGATGAACAATCAACAGTTTTCCACGGGGGTTCGCAGCAGGTGAACGCGAAGAAGAAGAAACTACAATGAAGATTGTTTTTTATTCAAATCCAGCCTGTTTTCTGTCAACACAACTGCAGCATATGAAACTCAGAAAAAAAAAAATGGTCTGACAATACAGAGACCCAAAAAAAAAATGTTATCCATTAGCTTGAACTCTTTGAGTCCTAAGAAACGCATCATAAGTTTACGGGTTCCTACCTAGAAGCCCAGTAAACGCTTGATATGCAGATTTTATGTCTCTCTTTACTAACCCTTGGGCCTTTGATGCTAAACCCTCTGGGACTCAAAGAGTTAATAACAACTGTGGTTTGTTTCAAAATATGCATCATAATTCATTTCATTATGACTAAAACAAACATCTTTAGAGCAGGAAAAAAAAATTAATTACAACTAAACACACAAAATGAAGTTCATACTAACTCAATATCCCCTAAGACTTATGTTTAATATGTGTGAAAAAACTTCTAAGAACAGATATTTATTTCCTAAGTAATTCTTAATAATTTCAACTGATGTGTACCAAAAGTATTCACATTTTGCAAGAAAAAAAAACTGCAGCAATTTCAGCTTATGTGCACAATTACTGTGTGTTTGATATGCCAAAGTTTTCGATGAAAATAAATTGCAGACAGTAATCTTAGAGTAAAACTTTGTGTCCCAAAATTTCCTCTGAACTAGCGCAGCAATCTGAGTTTGTGTAAAGCTATTGTGTCACAGACAGTAACCTCAAAATTTGCGGACAACTTTTGTGTGCCAAAATGTCTCTATGAAAAAGTGGAGGAGTTTCAGCTTTTTATGTCTTATTATGTTTGCCAGTTATCTAAGTATCCTATAAAAGATCACAGTAATTTTCAGCTTGTGTCCAACTATGTATGCTAGTTATCTAAGTTTCCTATGAAAGATCTCAGTAATTTCAGCTTGTGTCCAACTAAGTATGCTAGTTATCTAAGTTTCCTATGAAAGATCTCAGTAATTTCAGCTTGTGTCCAACTAAGTATGCTAGTTATCTAAGTTTCCTATGAAAGATCTCAGTAATTTCAGCTTGTGTCCAACTAAGTATGCTAGTTATCTAAGTTTCCTATGAAAGATCTCAGTAATTTCAGCTTGTGTCCAACTAAGTATGCTAGTTATCTAAGTTTCCTATGAAAGATCTCAGTAATTTCAGCTTGTGTCCAACTAAGTATGCTAGTTATCTAAGTTTCCTATGAAAGATCTCAGTAATTTCAGCTTGTGTCCAACTAAGTATGCTAGTTATCTAAGTTTCCTATGAAAGATCTCAGTAATTTCAGCTTGTGTCCAACTAAGTATGCTAGTTATCTAAGTTTCCTATGAAAGATCTCAGTAATTTCAGCTTGTGTCCAACTAAGTATGCTAGTTATCTAAGTTTCCTATGAAAGATCTCAGTAATTTCAGCTTGTGTCCAACTAAGTATGCTAGTTATCTAAGTTTCCTATGAAAGATCTCAGTAATTTCAGCTTGTGTCCAACTAAGTATGCTAGTTATCTAAGTTTCCTATGAAAGATCTCAGTAATTTCAGCTTGTGTCCAACTAAGTATGCTAGTTATCTAAGTTTCCTATGAAAGATCTCAGTAATTTCAGCTTGTGTCCAACTAAGTATGCTAGTTATCTAAGTTTCCTATGAAAGATCACAGTAATTTCAGCTTGTGTCCAACTATGTATGCTAGTTATCTAAGTTTCCTATGAAAGATCTCAGTAATTTCAGCTTGTGTCCAACTAAGTATGCTAGTTATCTAAGTTTCCTATGAAAGGTCGCAGTAATTTCAGCTTATGTGTCCACCTATGTTTGCTAGTTATCTAGGTTTCCTATGAAAGATCTCAGTAATTTCAGCTTGTGTCCAACTAAGTATGCTAGTTATCTAAGTTTCCTATGAAAGATCTCAGTAATTTCAGCTTGTGTCCAACTAAGTATGCTAGTTATCTAAGTTTCCTATGAAAGATCTCAGTAATTTCAGCTTGTGTCCAACTAAGTATGCTAGTTATCTAAGTTTCCTATGAAAGATCTCAGTAATTTCAGCTTGTGTCCAACTAAGTATGCTAGTTATCTAAGTTTCCTATGAAAGATCTCAGTAATTTCAGCTTGTGTCCAACTAAGTATGCTAGTTATCTAAGTTTCCTATGAAAGATCTCAGTAATTTCAGCTTGTGTCCAACTAAGTATGGCTAGTTATCTAAGTTTCCTATGAAAGATCTCAGTAATTTCAGCTTGTGTCCAACTAAGTATGCTAGTTATCTAAGTTTCCTATGAAAGATCTCAGTAATTTCAGCTTGTGTCCAACTAAGTATGCTAGTCATCTAAGTTTCCTATGAAAGATCTCAGTAATTTCAGCTTGTGTCCAACTATGTATGCTAGTCATCTAAGTTTCCTATGAAAGATCGCAGTAATTTCAGCTTGTGTGTCCAACTAAGTATGCTAGTTATCTAAGTTTCCTATGAAAGATCGCAGTAATTTCAGCTTGTGTCCAACTATGTATGCTAGTTATCTAAGTTTCCTATGAAAGGTCGCAGTAATTTCAGCTTGTGTCCAACTATGTATGCTAGTTATCTAAGTTTCCTATGAAAGGTCGCAGTAATTTCAGCTTGTGTCCAACTATGTATGCTAGTTATCTAAGTTTCCTATGAAAGATCTCAGTAAAAGCTTGTGTCCACTAAGTATGCTAGTTATCTAAGTTTCCTATGAAAGATCTCAGTAATTTCAGCTTGTGTCCAACTAAGTATGCTAGTCATCTAAGTTTCCTATGAAAGATCTCAGTAATTTCAGCTTGTGTCCAACTATGTATGCTAGTCATCTAAGTTTCCTATGAAAGATCTCAGTAATTTCAGTTGTGTCCAACTAAGTATGCTAGTTATCTAAGTTTCCTATGAAATGCAGTAATTTCAGCTTGTGTCCAACTATGTATGCTAGTCATCTAAGTTTCCTTTAAAAGATCTCAGTAATTTCAGCTTGTGTCCAACTATGTATGCTAGTTATCTAAGTTTCCTATAAAAGATCGCAGTAATTTCAGCTTGTGTCCAACTATGTGTGCTAGTTATCTAAGTTCCCTATGAAAGGTCGCAGTAATTTCAGCTTGTGTCCAACTATGTATGCTAGTTATCTAAGTTTCCTATAAAAGGTCGCAGTAATTTCAGCTTGTGTCCAACTATGTATGCCAGTTATCTAAGTTTCCTATGAAAGGTCGCAGTAATTTCAGCTTGTGTGTACAGCTTTGTATGCTAGTTACCTGTTTCCTATGAAAGTTCTCAGAAATTTCACATTATGGTTAAAATTACTGTGTGTTCACTACTGATTCAAAAGACAAACCACCAACCAAAAAGGTTCACAGGATAAAATTTAAATAAGGGTGCTAGTACTGTTTTGTGAAGACATTCATAGTTGGCCATTGGTCTGTGCAGGTAGTCCATTGGTGTGGGAATCACCTGTGGATTTCAGATACTCCTTGTATTTCTTCTCCTGTGCCTCATACAATTTTACAAGTTTCTTCAAGGCCGATTTAGTTAACTCCTGACCACTTGCATCATGGGTGGGAATCCCCTGTGAATAAAAGCACATTTTAGAATGTATCATTCTGCTTAGGAAAAAGAAAAACTCACAATTCTGTTCATCAACATAAGAAACAAATAACAATTTATTATTTTACTGTCTTATAATGGATTCTTCAGTTTTCTCTTCTTCTACTACTTAGCATTCCCCAGCAGTAAATGCAGCAGAAAGTTCTGGTTGTCATCCACCTCCAGATTTGTCTTGTTACAACACCTAAGTGTTGTGTGCACATCCATTTTACAGGTGTGGCTTATTTGTATGCAGACTGTTTGTTCCTCGTCTCCCAGACACACTCTGACTTCAAAGGGTGCCCTCAATTATTCTATACAGACTTGTCTTGTTCCAGAACCTGAGTGTTGTGTGCACATCTGTTTTACAGATGTGGCTTATTTGTATGCAGGTTGTTGGTTCCTTGTCTCTCAGATGCACTCTGACTTCAAAGTGTGCCCCCAATTAGTCAATATGCTTGTTAGGGGAAGTAGTGCGTCTGTTCCTGTTTTCCCCACAATGTGATCCAGGTGGGGTGTCTGTTTTCTATTTCTGTTTCTTCCTTTTGTTGTTGCCCTCAACCCTGCCACCCCATGAAAGCTGTCGCACTTAAGGGATTCTAATGACATGAAGACTTTTTAGACGTGTCCACTACACCTATATAACAGCTCTGGTACTGGTTGCAACTGCAGAGTCTGCAAATATGGTGGGTATGATTGTATTTACAAAAATAAAATTACATGTTACCACAATCAATGTCTTTGCACATAGAAAAAGCATTTTGAGGAAACAAAGGCATCATTGAAAGCCTTCAGTATAAACACTAACACCTGGGAAGCTGCACCACAAGACCGGACTTCATGGCACACATATATCTGAGAAAGTGCAACGATCTGCGAGGCATCTAGAACAAGGGCAGCTGATCAGCAAAGACAGGCTAGGAAAAAAAACCCCCATTAAACAGGCCCTTTGTCTACAGACACAGTGCCCTGCCCCCATTGTCCTAGACTCTTCCGGGCATGAGTTGGGACGTATAAGTCACCTCCAGACTCACAAACTTTCAACTGCAGTTTCATGACGGATGAAAGAAAGAGTGGTTCTCATCACTTGTGATGGACGGAACGAACAACTTTGCACACAGGGTAGCAGCCACTCCAAAGTACCTACTGAATGTTTCCATAAAGAGTTTGTTATAGTATCTCCTGTCTTTACCTCAAAGACGGCACAAATGGGCTTCGCCAAGCTCAACTCCTTGGTCACGCAGTCGTGTTAGCGTCAGAGATTCGCTATTATCCCCCAACCTAGTCCATACAGCGTTGATGATACCAGCTCTGTCCACGTTTCTTCCCGTTTGCTTTTATTACCAATTACTCCTGCATGCCCAGGTGTGTAGATCCAGATGACAGAGGTTAACTGTGACTTCCAATTGCCTTCTACCCCTCGGAGTGTAGACTACCTGTAGCGATTTTCTGAAGCATGTTCATAAAGTCTGAAACCATTTCCACATGTGTGGTCACTTGTTCTGCTACCCATGCGAGTGCTCTGAAAGCAGGAGTTATCTCCATAGTTATGCTTGACGTAGTTGTCTGGTAAGCACCGCTATTCTCTTTTATTGTTATCCCCATCCTTTGTGCTGTCTATGCCCATGCTGATCTTGACCCACGCTTTCCAGACCCATCTGTGTAAATGACGGCATCTTCTGGGCGTAACTACTGATCAATCAATTACCTAATCTAGCGTCCATGGTGGCAGGACTCTTGCAGTACCTTCCCAGTGTTATGACAACCTTAGACAAGTCATGCAAATCTACTGGTGTATCCATCCATTCTTATTCGTGACTGATCTCGTCTAGGTCACATACTCGATTAGATTTTCTGCCTCGGGCATCCAAGAGGAGCCTCTTTTGCGATGCATCACTTTTATATCATTGACAACGTGCAGTGGGTGGTTGATACCTGTTGATATCCTCATGTATGCTTTCACCTGTGCCACTTTATGTCTGGTGGCCATCGTTGGCAAACCCAGAGTTTGAGTCTCATGGCCTCATTTTGTACCTGATCCAGTCTTTCTAGCTGGATTCCGCTGACAGTGAGGAGGCCCAGACCGCTTTAACAGTTCAAGCTCATGATAGAGCAGGAAAAGTCGGCGTAGTCCAATGTTGGCATAGACCAGTGCCTTCAGCGCCATCAGACCTTTCCTGGCTCTAATTATGACACTGTCTATGTGATTTATGTATGACAAGCATCTGTCGAAAGTTTCACCAAGGTATCTTTTTGTGTTAATTCCACAAAGTCTATATTGCATTTAAGAAGTAAAGGGTTCAGTTATTTGGTTCATTTTATTCAATTAAGAGTATGAAACATATAGGGAGGGAGGAAGGAACAGCTGACAATCTTAGTGGTAAAGAATGTGTGAATTAGTGGAACAGATGGGTAACAAACACTACTTTGTCAACAAGGTGCATACAAATTCATCCAGATAGCTTTTCCTAACCTAGCATTAAATGATACAGTTCCCACCCCCAAAAAATATAAATAAGAGCACTAAATACTTACCCGTTCATCAAATACTGAATATTTGTCTGTCTCTTTCCTGAACAATTCAGATGGTGGTATTCTCTTCTGAGCTTCCTTAGCAGCCTAAAAAAAATGGATTACAATAATATTTATTTAAAGAAGTAACTTCTTTGCTTTCACTGGCTGTAAACTCTGGCAGAAAGTTTGAGTTGTTCATTCACCTTTAGACTTGATTCTTATTTCAGAACCCAAGTTTTGCGTGCACATCCATTTTACAGATCTGGCTCATTTGTGCGCAGACTGTTGGTTTCTCACCTCTCAGGCAGATGCACCCCGACCTGGAAGGTGATATCACTAAATAGTATACTCTCACCACATGTCTGTTAGAGGGCAGTGGGTCTATTCTTGTTTTCCCCAGAATCCAAAAGGCAACACCAATATATCAGATGGGATATGTCTTCCAGAAGAACTGCCAACCAACTAACCAATCTAACAACTGCAAGTTTTGTATCAATCATATAAAAGATCTACAACCTATCTGACATAAGCTTATGAGATGTATTCAAGGACACGCTATTATACCAGTGTCTCAGTTTTGTTTTTAACAGGTGATAAAATAAATAAGATTATGTACCTGTTCCTCTTCCTTTTGTTTTCGTTGTTTTTCCTTCTCTTGTGCTTTTTTCTCTTCTTGCTGCATGAAGGGAACATAAATAATTATCAATACAGTATAATGTAAAGAAATATTCAGATGAGTACTATTCAAAACATACATGAACGGAATCAAAAGTGCACTTGTAATTTTCTTCTTCCTCTTCTTTACTTTCTCCCTGCCAGTGGTTTTCAGATCAGAAGAACAGAGGCCTCAACGAGGGCTGTGATGTGACCTCCATACTGCTTGGCTTCCAAGAAAATGCTAAGGATTTCACTACTGCATGTCGGCAGCTCATGTTCAGTATTCCTGGGAAAACTGTTTGCAGGAGCAAAGCTCAAGAGTTCCCAATCTTGAATATCTCGTACACATGGCTGCAGAGTCTGTTGTGTCCGGTAGGCAATCTAAATATAATGGTCTGTTGCTGTAAGTTGACTGGTAGTTTTAAAACAACACCCACCCACTGTCCCATCCACACATACACAAAACTGTTACACAGTCTTTAGCATCATATGAATAATAAAGTAAGATAGGCTGCAATGTTTCTCTAAAGTCTATAAGTGTTTCAATTGTGACATGTCACAGGCAGCTGTTTTTGGGTGTGGTTATCAATGCAGTATTCAATAATTACCAGGGCTTGATTCCCGCAGTGGGAGGTTTAGACAGAAATTCCTGGCATTCAGACAATAGTATGAGAGTTGCACCATGGAAGAGAGTGGGGTCTTACTACATAATATTCCTATAGCAGTGAATACATTACAGCTAACCACCACTGTGGAGATGGCGAAGTTTGTTTCGGGGGTTCTTTCAACTCCACATATTACCAAAAACTTTGTTAGAAAGTTATGAGAAGAACCTGGGCGGTGAATAATGCATGAGTGCTGTCCAGAAACATGTAGCTGCTTTAAGAATCAAATGGTTTGGTCATCTAGTCAGAATGGAACCAAACCAGCCAGTAGCTAGAGTGTACTACAGGAGAACTGCAGTCTACAAGTTAAGAGGCCCACTAATAAAGAGATGGGTAGAGGGAGTAAAAGAGAAAGTACAGAAATGAAATATGATATTAACACAAATTACACATTAGCAAAAGACAGCAATAGAATAACTAATGTAGAGCTTTGGAGAGAACTAAACAGACTGGTGGACCAAGAGGTGAGGAAAAGACGCTGGTGTTGGATAGGACATACACTGAGAAAAGAGAAAAGCATAACGAGTATGTCTTTGCATTGAAACCCACAGGGGCATAGGAATAAAGGAAGGCCAAAAAACACATGGAGAAGAGAGCTAGAGAATGAAGTTAGAAAGATGGGGAGGACATGGGGAGAGCTCCATGCAATGGCGAAGGATAGAACGACTTGGCGTGAGTTGGTTGAGGGCCTATGCTCCATTGGGGGATAGAAAGGCAGAAGAAGAAAAGACAGCAACCTACGTCTAACTCCTTTCTGTGACACTTTGCAGAATTAGCAGGACAACAGCAGAAGAAAAAGAATCCATCTCTTCTTTGGGCACTCTCACGCATTCACAATTGTTCACATGTAGCACACGCTTCTGTAGTTGTTAAATATTAAATATCACAATTTAAAAAACACACCGAGTATTTCATTCATTATGACATTCCTAAACACAAAGATATCTTACCCGCTTCTTTTCTGCTCTTTCTTTCATCAATGTTTCCCTGTCAACCAATTTAATGACCGGTGGGGCACCTTCATGATCTTCTAGCCTCACCCCCAGCTCAGGTAACGTGTCATCCCTGACCTCATCACACAGCTTCAAAATTTCTACAGCTGTTAACAAACATAAATATTAGAAAACTTTTCAACAGGTATACAACAGACAGTGAAGTCCATACTAGAGAAAACATTGCAGATATAGACTATTTCAAGCAAACAAAAGAAAAAGAAGAATAGGTAAAGATAAAAATTCTTTAAAGAGTGATAGCTGGCTGTGTGGTTAAGAATGCTGGGCTCTTTTTTAAGAGACACAGGTTTAAATCCTCAGTAAGGTAGTATATTTTTTGGTAGTTATATACAGATATACAATCAGGCGGTTACTGGTACTATCGGAATTGTAACTCTTCGCTTGCTGCTGAAGACGGGAACTGAGCACTTATGGGAGTGTCCCGAGTGCTGTGATGTCGATTCTTAATTCAACATTTTGTTGTTGAGGGCAAAATTAAAATCTGAACCTGTGGTGACTGCGCCAGATATGTCCTAATAAATGGTACATACAGACGATAAGAACACAAACACACACACACATACATGAAAAGACCCTTAAAGGAAAAGACAGACAGACGACTTCATATGTTCATTAGTCTGTGTAATCTTGTGTTTCCTTGCCAAGCTGCCACCTGATGATTGACTACCAAAAGTGACTTCAAGTCTCAATCAGGTTAGCACACCACCAGGAAATTCTAAGAAACCCCATTCAATCTTCAGGCTACTTTTATTCGGTCTGCGGTGACAACACACCAACTGGTGTACCCTATACTCCTGTATGGGTAAGACTCTCTTTGGTAATTTTAGGTGAACACAGAAGAACATGACTGAACACATAAAGAACAATGAAATATGATTAAAAACCATAAATAATAACCCTACAACTGACCTTTCTGCTTGCGGGCAACTGCCCTGACATTTTCTCTGAATTCAGCAAAAGTGGCCAGATAAGGCATCACAATGTCTTCCACCTGTAGAACAGAGCAAAAGTAGTCCGGTAACTATGAATATAATTCATCACCTTTAGCTTTAAACTAAATATTTATCACTTTTATCTTTAACCTAAAAATTCATTATTTTTAGCCTGAAACAAAATTTTCATCACTTTTAGCTTGAAACAAAATATTTATCACTTTTAGACTAAATATTCATCACTTTTAGCTTTAAACTAAATATTCATCACTTTTATCTTTAACCTAAATAGTCATCACTTTTAGCTTTAAACTAAATATTCATCACTTTTAGCTTTAAACTAAATATTTATCACTTTTAGCTTTAACCTAAATATTCATTATTTTTAGCCTGAAACAAAATTTTCATCACTTTTAGCTTGAAACAAAATATTTATCACTTTTAAACTAAATATTCATCACTTTTAGCTTTAAACTAAATATTCATCACTTTTATCTTTAACCTAAATAGTCATCACTTTTAGCTTTAAACTAAATATTTATCACTTTTAGCTTTAACCTAAACATTCATTATTTTTAGCCTGAAACAAAATTTTCATCACTTTTAGCTTGAAACAAAATATTTATCTCTTTTCAACTAAATATTCATCCCTTTTACATTTAAACAAAATATTCATCACTTTTAGCTTTAAACTAAATATTCATCACTTTTAGCTTTAAACCAACTATTTATCACTTTTAGCTTTAAACTAAATATTCACCACTTTTAGCTTTAAACTAAATATTCATCACTTTTAGCTTTAAACAAAATATTTATCACTTTTAAACTAATTATTCATCACTTTTAGCTTTAACCCAAATATTCATCACTTTTAGCTTTAAACTAAATATTCATTCCTTTTAGCTTTAAACTAAATATTTATCACTTTTAGCTTCAACCTAAATATTAATTATTTTTAGCCTGAAACAAAATTTTTAATCACTTTTTAGCTTGAAACAAAATATTTATCACTTTTAAACTAAATGTTCATCACTTTTAGCTTGAAACAAAATATTTATCACTTTTAGCTTTAAACTAAATATTCATCACTTTTAGCTTTAAACTAAATATTTATCACTTTTAGCTTTAAATTAAATATTCATCACTTTTAGCTTTAAACTAAATATTTATCACTTTTAGCTTTAAACTAAATGCATTTGCACACTATTAAGAAATACACATGATGTTTTTGTTTTTACACCAAATCTTTCAAGTGAATAGCAAGCAGCCTGCGCAGAATAGAAGGAATCAAATGGTATGATAGAATCACTAATGTAGAGCTTTGGGAGAGAACTAAACAAGTTCCAGTGGACCAAGAGGTTAAAAGTGAAAAAAGATGCTGACATTGGATATGTCACATGCTGAGAAAACCTGAGAACAATATAACTAGAATGTCTTGGCACTGGAAAGGACATGGGTAGACCTGCATGCAACAGCGAAGGATAGAACGCCTTGGCGTGAGTTGGTTTGAGGGCCTATGCCACAGTTAGAAAGGCAGAAGAAGAAGAAGAAGGCATCTGCTAAAATCTGATGTTTTTGGCTGAAAAGCAGATATCACAGCCTACTTGAAAACCATAAAGCAATGAGCCAAGTGCCTTTATAGGGACAAACGCAGAAGAAGACAGAAGTCATCTAGGGACAAAAAGGGTTTTCTGAATATTCAGAATAAAAGAGGCTATAATAGAAAAAAGGGATAACCCCACTTATACATACTAAAATCACAGCCTGAATTAGGACGTCAGACAGGCAAAAGAGAACAATCAACGGAACCACAGGACTAAACTTCAGGAACCAGATGTACAATGCCGGACAGTACAAACACAATAGCAGGATACCTAGCCATTTATATTGGCAGAAAAAACTTTTATTTTGTTTCTCTTCTTCTTCTTCTTCGTTCACCGGCTGTGAATTCCGGCGGAAGGTCCCGGTTAATCGTTCGCTTGGACTTTTGGCTTTTACCTGGACCTGAGTTTTGCGTGTACAACCGTTTTGTTGTTCCCTGCCTCGCGGGCAGATGTACTCCGACTTCGAGGGTGCTTTTGTTTCTAATAACTGAACTGACGAAAACGTAGAAGACAAAAATGAGATTTATTTCAATGTTACATTTGTATTGCGTGATCCACCCTGTGGGAATCCAATTGACTGCTCCTTGGGGATGGCGCCAAATATCTGCAGAGGCAAGTCAAATAATACAAATGGGGCTTGACTCCCGGAAGAAAATAAAAACATATACAATATTTTTTTTCAACTGTTATTTGTTAGTCACATTAATTATTGTAACTTCTTAAATATGTCATGTTAAGTCAAACAACACAAGCAATTTACAACAGTGATTATAAAAGTTCATTAGGAACTTAAATCGGTCCTCGGCGACCAGGTCGCTCATTGGCTCGCCGGTAGACGACTTAGTCGCCGGTCAGGACAGTATTATGGTCTGTCCCCTTTGATCGCATCAACACTTTTCAGGGCTCTTGGTGGCAGGCAATGTTAAGCCATTTTATATGGCGCACATAACTAAGTCACAATTATAACATAAAGCTCCCCTTTCGGGTATGCTGGTTGAATGTGACACATTTTTTCCCCCAGCAAAGTACTTCACATCAGAGCACACACATAAATGTTCGAAACCCATTTTCAGCAGTCAGTGCAGTGTGCCAATACTAATGGTGGCAGTAAGAAGTCAGATTATTTGATCATCGTCTTTAGTCTGAACATTGAGTGTCAACAAGATCGGCTGGAGTTTCTAATTTGCATCCACATTTTTAAATGACTGTGGTATCTTTGCTCTTCTGCATTGTTCACGTGCATCTAAGGGCCTTTACCTATGCACAAGGTGAGTCCGAAAAATGGCTATATGTTTAATTAAATTGCATTTTCAAACTTCTGTACTTCTGACTCACCCTGTATATTATACTAGCGTCAAAAATTCAAGACCACCCAGCAAATAACTGTTTTTTCCACAATATTGCAAAGCATTAATCACCTATTTTAGGACACTAAATGCAATAATTGCAGTCAATTGCATCATCCTTACGTTACTAACTGTGCAAACACAATTGTTACTACTTTTTAGTGCTGTTTGGTTGTTGCAGTTGTATTATCTTTGAATTTTATGTTTGTGAGAAAGAGAAAGAGTATACAGAATGTGAAATGTCTATTAAAACTGACGGTAATAAGATGACACTTCACAATGTAATCATCAAGTACTATTCAGATATTACTTTGCCAGACCGAAAAAGAAGTGAATGTTTTACACCATTTGAAACATCACAATAAAGAAACATGTAACGTTGGAAACTGGCCCCATACCCTGAGCAGGTCTATGATATAACTTGCTATGCTCAGCAGCCGTGTTCTCATAGCTGTACCATGTACCATTTAGATAGTACACTGCCAAACCAAAAAAATCAGTGGATGTCACATATCATTTGAAACATCACAACAAAGAAACAAGCAACAGTTGGAAACTGGCCCGTACCCTGAGCAGGTCTGTGATGTAACTGGCTATGTTCAGCAGCAGTGTTCTGTTAGGCTGCCTCTGCTGTGACCTTGCTGTAGAGATGTATGAGTTTCCTGATGATATCAGCTCCCTGATGCTTTCCATCGCAGTTCGTGTGTCTACATTGTCTGTTTACAGAATGCAAAACCATCATCACAAATCTGAATATACCAACTGGTAGGTTTGTGCAGTTTTATGTAACAGGATCTACTGAGACAGACTGACTGACTGGATTCAAGGACATCTTTCACTGACTGACTGGATTCAAGGACATCTTTCACTGACTGAATGGATTCAAGGACATCTTTCATTGACTGACTGGATTCAAGGACAACTTTCACTGACTGACTGGATTCAAGGACATCTTTCACTGACTGACTGGATTCAAGGACATCTTTCACTGACTGACTGGATTCAAGGACATCTTTCACTGACTGACTGGATTCAAGGACATCTTTCATTGACTGACTGGATTCAAGGACAACTTTCACTGACTGAATGGATTCAAAGACATCTTTCATTGACTGACTGGATTCAAGGACAACTTTCACTGACTGACTGGATTCAAGGACATCTTTCACTGACTGACTGGATTCAAGGACATCTTTCATTGACTGAATGGATTCAAAGACATCTTTCATTGACTGACTGGATTCTAGGACAACTTTCACTGACTGACTGGATTCAAGGACATCTTTCACTGACTGACTGAAGTCAAGGACAACTTTCACTGACTGAATGGATTCAAGGACATCTTTCACTGACTGACTGGATTCAAGGACATCTTTCACTGACTGACTGGATTCAAGGACAACTTTCACTGACTGACTGGATTCAAGGACATCTTTCACTGACTGACTGGATTCAAGGACATCTTTCACTGACTGACTGGATTCAAAGACATCTTTCACTGACTGAATGGATTCAAGGACATCTTTCACTGACTGACTGGATTCAAGGACATCTTTCACTGACTGACTGGATTCAAGGACATCTTTCACTGACTGACTGGATTCAAGGACATCTTTCACTGACTGACTGGATTCAAGGACATCTTTCACTGACTGACTGGATTCAAGGACATCTTTCACTGACTGACTGGATTCAAGGACATCTTTCACTGACTGACTGGATTCAAGGACATCTTTCACTGACTGACTGGATTCAAAGACATCTTTCACTGACTGACTGGATTCAAGGACATCTTTCACTGACTGACTGGATTCAAGGACATCTTTCACTGACTGACTGGATTCAAGGACATCTTTCACTGACTGACTGGATTCAAGGACATCTTTCACTGACTGACTGGATTCAAGGACATCTTTCACTGACTGACTGGATTCAAGGACATCTTTCACTGACTGACTGGATTCAAGGACATCTTTCACTGACTGACTGGATTCAAGGACATCTTTCATTGACTGACTGGATTCAAGGACATCTTTCACTGACTGACTGGATTCAAGGACATCTTTCACTGACTGACTGGATTCAAGGACATCTTTCACTGACTGACTGGATTCAAGGACATCTTTCACTGACTGACTGGATTCAAGGACATCTTTCACTGACTGACTGGATTCAAGGACATCTTTCACTGACTGACTGGATTCAAGGACATCTTTCACTGACTGACTGGATTCAAGGACATCTTTCACTGACTGACTGGATTCAAGGACAACTTTCACTGACTGAATGGATTCAAAGACATCTTTCATTGACTGACTGGATTCAAGGACAACTTTCACTGACTGAATGGATTCAAGGACATCTTTCACTGACTGACTGGATTCAAGGACATCTTTCATTGACTGAATGGATTCAAAGACATCTTTCATTGACTGAATGGATTCAAAGACATCTTTCATTGACTGACTGGATTCAAGGACAACTTTCACTGACTGACTGGATTCAAGGACATCTTTCACTGACTGACTGGATTCAAGGACAACTTTCACTGACTGAATGGATTCAAAGACATCTTTCATTGACTGACTGGATTCAAGGACAACTTTCATTGACTGAATGGATTCAAGGACATCTTTCACTGACTGACTGGATTCAAGGACATCTTTCACTGACTGACTGGATTCAAGGACATCTTTCACTGACTGACTGGATTCAAGGACATCTTTCCCTGACTGACTGGATTCAAGGACATCTTTCATTGATGAATGGATTCAAAGACATCTTTCATTGACTGAATGGATTCAAAGACATCTTTCATTGACTGACTGGATTCAAGGACAACTTTCACTGACTGACTGGATTCAAGGACATCTTTCACTGACTGACTGGATTCAAGGACAACTTTCACTGACTGAATGGATTCAAAGACATCTTTCATTGACTGACTGGATTCAAGGACAACTTTCATTGACTGAATGGATTCAAGGACATCTTTCACTGACTGACTGGATTCAAGGACATCTTTCACTGACTGACTGGATTCAAGGACATCTTTCACTGACTGACTGGATTTAAGGACATCTTTCACTGACTGACTGGATTCAAGGACATCTTTCACTGACTGACTGGATTCAAGGACATCTTTCCCACACTTTAAATTATACATCCCCATGTGGGTTCTGGGGGAGCCGCCCTGGTCTAGTGGCTAGATGCTCGCCTGCGGATTGGTAGGTCATGGGTTCGGTTCCTGATGAGGGCCTGCCTTTTTTTTTAAAAAATGACCTTGGCACCCAGGTCGACCCAGCCTTGAGTGGGTACCAGGTGACCTGCGTGATGCTTATCACATCACCCACCAAGTGCCGTTTGGTCTATAAAATATAGGTCTAGCCCTACTTACCCAATACGCCTGAAAGGCGTGGAAAAGGATGCTTCACTTACTTACGCGGGTTCTGGGACCTCATTGTGGGGGAGAGGGGACAACAGACCCACTGTCTCCCTAATAAACGTGGTAACAGACAACTAATCAGGGCTGTTTCCTTCGAAGTCAGAGTGCATCTGCCTGAGTAGCGAGGAACCAACAGTCTGCATACAAAAAAGCCACATCTGTAAAATGATGTGCACGCAAAACCTAAGTTCTAGAAAAGGACCAAAGTCAAGAAGTTGGTGAGCAACCAAAACTTTCCACCGTACTTTACAGCTGGTGAATGCTAAGAAGAAGAAGAAGAAGACGTATTTGTATAGTTTTCTGTAATAGGATCTATTGCTACAGATCAGCGGTTCTCAACCTGTGGGTCGTGACCCTTTTGGGGGTCGAAAACCCTTTCACAGGTGTCACCAAAGACCATCAAAAATCATATACTCAGTGAAGTCGAATTAGCAACAAAAATAATTTTATGGTTGGAGATCACCACAACACGAGGAACTGTCTTAAAGGGTCGCCACAACATGAGGAACTGTCTTAAAGGGTCGCCACAACACGAGGAACTGTCTTAAAGGGTCGCCACAACACGAGGAACTGTCTTAAAGGGTCGCCACAACACGAGGAACTGTCTTAAAGGGTCGCCACAACACGAGGAACTGTCTTAAAGGGTCGCCACAACACGAGGAACTGTCTTATAGGGTCGCCACAACACGAGGAACTGTCTTAAAGGGTCGCCACAACACGAGGAACTGTCTTAAAGGGTCGCCACAACACGAGGAACTGTCTTAAAGGGTCGCTCGCTGCATTAGGAAGGTTGAGCATCACTGCTATAGACTGACTGACTGGGTTTCAAGAACATTTCCATGACACATTAAATCATACATCTGTTGATTGAATTGTACAACTTCATGCAGAGGTGGAGGCAATCACTGCATCTCTGAAGTGGATGGCAGAAAGCAGAGTTACCAAAGAAATTACAGTGTCTGATTCTCAGTCGGTACCGCAATAGGTACAAAATGGACAAATGTGACAAAAGTGGATACCAAACACCGGCTAGTTACACCTGCCATTGCCATCAGCTGCAATTCCTACACCTCCCTTTATCAAAATAAAACACTATCCCATGGAAAGACAGAAAGGTGTCAACCTCAGGCTCAAGCCCACAAACAAGCAAGTGTGAAACAGCATTTACCACACAGAGCTTCATGCACTCCCTGACGTTTCTGCATGAACTTCTCATTGAGTTTCACTTCCTCTTGTGTCCACTTGGCCCACGCGTTGATTCCAGAGGAAGGTACTGATCTAATGCAATCTTTGACAGTTAGAAAGAACTCCTGTACAAGAAACAAGAAAACAGTAATTATGGCTCATCTAAAGTACAATAACATTAGGTAAATCTCTCCCTGTGTGGGTTCTGGGGCCCCATAATGGGGAAAAAAAATAGAGCCACTGCCTACCCAACAAGCATGTCGTAGGAGATGACTAACTGGGGGCTTTCTCTGAAGTTGGAGTGCATCTGCCCGAGCGGCAAGGAAGAACTAGCTGCTTATATACAAGCCAGTAAAACAGATGTACACGCAAAACTCAGGTCCAAGAACAAAGCCAAAATGGACAAACAACCAAGACGTTCTGCCGGAACTTACAGCCGGTGAACAAAGGAGAAGAATTAGGCAACCATAACGTAATCCCATCGCAGATTTTGTTGTAGGAATGTATAGTATCTTTTAGGTCATGCATTTAGTGGTTGAGTTAGTAATGTCTCAACACATGGGCCGGCTGGGCGCTTGCCCAGAGGTCCCATGAGATTAGGGTACCCTAAATATATGTTTAATATTATCGATCATTGACAGTTAATTGCTGTGAGTGGGTGTCATAGGGGTCCAGCACACTGGTTTACCCAGGGGTCCCAAATTGCTGTTAAAATGGTCTGAGTTGAGTAACCAGTTGTTTTCCTTGATGGATTTATTTGACTAAATACCGTTTTCCCCCCATTTTACAAGGCTGGTTTGACACCAAAGGGGTAATGACTTAGGGAAAAAAAAACCACCTGCACTGTAAAAGAATCACACACAGACCGATATGTTTCTAGTTCAGTGCATTAATCCCAACTTCAGGTAACTTCTTCTTCTTCGCGTTCACCAGCTGTAAACTCTGGTGGAAAGTTCTGGTTGCTCGTCCACTACTGAACTGCAGTCCTGCTCCAGAACCTGAGTGTTGCGTGTGCATCAGTTTTACAGATCTCATTCTCTTGAATACAGATTGCTGGTTCCTTGCCTCTCCGGCAGATGCACTCCGACTTCAAAGGAGGCTCCCCAATTAGTCGACTCTTACGACATGCTTTTGGGGAGGCAGTGGGTCTATTCTTGTTTTCCCCACAATGGGACCCCGGAACCCACACGGGGATTCAGGTAACTGATGTATGGGTGTCTATTTGTCTGTAGACATACAGACATATGTAGATAGCTAAGTGGATATACACACAAATTGTACAGAACAGAAGGCATTTGATGGATGATGTGGTCACTATAATGTGAACACTTTTACTTCCCAGGATATTTAGATGCGCCCATTTTAGGTTGGATCTCTGCCACTGCCAGTCCCAAGCTCGGATGAGAAAAGAGGAGGGGTTAGGCCTCAGGCCAGCTCTCCTACCCGGACAAAAAATATATCTATTACAGAAACCTGCAGAGACATAAAAATGGGAGAAATTCAAAAGAGTGAAAAAATAAGAGAAATGTTTGGGCACCTACTAGTATCATGTTACAAGACAAAGAGGGTGCTGTTAACGATAACCTGATGTTTAAACTAGGTTGCGCTCTGTGTGCCATTTCATTCGTAAAACATAGGACTGCTCAGGGGTGTAGGGGCGTGACCTAATTCTAGATTATTTAGGGACACCGACGACATGCAAAGTTGCGGCTTGTCGCTGTTCATTGCGCCGTTTCGTGAGATGTCCCGGACGGAATAGACTCGCACCCATGTGACCCAGAAGAGTCTAAGAAGCTATGAATGAAAGGTCAACGTCACGGTTACGGTGAACAGCACCAGACAGAGAAGATGACTCTATGTCAGAAATGTTCTGAATAGAGACAAACAGAAAATGACCAAACAGGCACTGAAACAAGAAAAGAGGGAATGTTGACGAGGGAAAACTAAGGTGCTGGACTGGACTCCATCTAAGTGACAGCACAGGACAAAACAGAATAGGGAAGTTGTAGGTTCTGAACAACGGATCAACACCATGACACACAGGTAGTAACCCATAAGTGCTCCATTCTTCTTCTAACTCAAGTCTGAGTCCAAAGAAGCTCAGCAAAATGCAAAGGCTCTGTAGCACCGGTGAGGATCCTGAAATACTTCGAGTAGATTTTTAACTCCAAATTTTGCCCAGGCAGCGCTGTTAAGCAACTTTTTTCAATTTCCAACTGACAAGGATTTTTTTTATGTGCGCAGCATTGCACATGGGCGTCTGATCTCACTACTCAGAGACCAACTGGCAGTCTGTGGGTGATGTGGACACCTTTACTTACCAGGACTTTACCTCATACCCAATAAAGGCTAGGTTGACCTGGAAGCCAAGGTAATTTCTGAAATAAGTCCGGCTCCGCCAGGACCTGAATCCATGAAGAAAATACTGTGTGGAGAAAGTGAATATTTCTGCAGGAGACTGGCTGCTCAAGCCCCACAATTTCAAGTACTGCCTAATGCTTATTCCAACCTTAATGGTACAAATAGGCTACATCCAGCATGAAATTATTTCTATTGAATTATGATACAACATTCTTTATCATGAATGAATAAAAATATCGGCAACTCACATTAAGAGTTCTTTCAAACTCCAGAGCAACCTCCATGGTTTTCTCACTGTAGTCCATCGTGTCTTTCCAAGAGTGGAGGAGGTAGAGCAGCCGGACTTGCCTTGCTGTGTACTTCCTGAGAACCTCTTTGATGGTGATGAAGTTCTTTAGAGATTTGGACATTTTGCACCCATCAATTGTCAAGTGCCCAGAATGGACAAAGTACCTGACCCAATGGTCATGTCCATAATATGCCTGGAAGGACAGATTAAACTGATATTAATAAATAGAACCATAACCTGAAGTAAGTGACAACAGCACTAGCTATGCGGTAGGTTCAAAGACTCCCCTGTCTGCCTTCGCCTCAAAAGTGGCAAATACAGGCAGACATATAGAGAAAACGAAAAGTTTACCAATAAACAATTGGTTCATCTTGTACAATACTATATACTGCTACTTCTTTTCTTCTCTGCTGAATTGCTTCTTCTTCTTCATTATGTCCATTAGCACCCTGTCTGTGTTTCAGGGTGCCATTGCAGGGGAAACAAGAATAGACCCACTGCCTCCCCAACAAGCATGTCGTAAGAGTCGACTAATTGGGAACTTCCTTCGAGGTCAGAGTATATATGTGCCTGGGAGGCAGGAAACAAGAATTACACACACACAAAAAAGCCAATATAATGCATGTACACACAAAACTTAGGTCTTGGCATGAAGCTAAAGCCCAAATGGATGAACAACTAGGACTTTCTGCTTGAGCTTACAGCCGGTGAACAAAGATGAAGAAGGATTCCACTAGCTATAAACTCCTGTGCAAAATCCTGGTTGTTCATCCACCTCTAAACCACATCTTGTTCCAGGACTTGAGTTTTGCATGCACGTCTGTTTGACAGATCTGGCTTATTTGTGTGCAGACTGTTGGTTCCTTGCCTTTCAGACAGATGAACTCCCACTTAAAGTGAAACATCCAGAACTACCTGCCTCTTACAACATGGGTGGGGTATTAGTTTTCTCCCCCAAAAGAGGGCCTCAGAACCCACACAGCGATCTGCTGAGCTGATTTTGTTGCCTGTCGACAGTCCCAAATAAATATTCTGTCGCTAGACTGACTCAGCAATTTTCACATAACTTCAGTAAATGAGGGGTATCTTTTTACTGTCACTGATTGATTTATACAATTATTCTGCTGGATAATCTTGATTCATTGTAATTTCAGTCTAATATCACATTATTCAAGAAGGGAGAAGAAAACAGTATAATTTAAGGGCAGAAGAGAAGAGAGGAGGAGAAAAAAGAACATAATTGATGGGGGGAAAAAGTGAGGACGAGAAAATAGAACAATATGAGGGGGAGAAGGTGATAAAGTACAGGTTAACTGCATCTGTAAAAAGTTGAAAGGCAAAATAAAGCCTGTACATGAATCATCTTTTATACCAAATGCTGGTTTACTTTCAGCTGGGGGAAAATACTTGAAGAGATTGTTTTGTTGACAGAAATAATTATAAAACAAAAACTGCTTGGAAGGCAAACCCGGTCAACAAATTCCTGCAGAAGTCGGACGTGTTGGCCAAGAGGCCCAAATATCACAGCCATGCTGTAGTCGGGCACAATGCAATTACATCTTCGGATGAACAAAGAAAAATTAATAAACATGAACACAGTATGTACAGATGGACTTACTTCTGCTTGGGCCAGTTCATTATCATGGTGTGGGAATTTCAGGTCATAGCCTCCTGTGTGGATATCCATGGAGTCTCCCAAAATATTACTGGCCATTACTGAGCATTCTATATGCCAGCCTGGCCTCCCCTTAAAAAAAAAAAAAAATTGTAATGCATTTTAAACATCTAGCACCTTGCTCTATCATGAAGTAATATAATCTTAGAAAGCAGCAGTAGTAATTTAAACAATAATATCCTGTTCAATCCTTCAGGGTTATAACTAGCATAACAGACCCACAGCCTACCCAAAAGATTGTCACAAGAGTTGACTAACTGGGCGCTTCATTCAAAGTCAGAGTGCACTGTTTGAGGCAAGGAACCAACAGTCTGCATACAAATGAGTCAGATCCGTAAAATGGATGTGCACACAACACTCAGGTTTCTGGAACTGGACTAGAGTCCAGAAGTGAACTTTACAGCTGGCGAACATTAAGAAGAAGAAAAAGAAGAAGAAGATAACTGGCACATAGAAAAATATGGTCATTTTTTAGACTGAATCCTAACGATTGTCTAGTAGTTATGGTTATTTAAATAGAGCACAGATTATACATTAATTATAAACAAATTATACGATTATAGATTATAAATAAGAGACAATGTACATTCTTTGGTCATGTCATGAGAGAACTGGAGTATACTGTGATAGTGGGAAAGTTGGAAGGGAAAAAAGATAGAGGGAGACCAAAAGGGACAATACTGGACAGTATAACATCATGGCATGGAAGTGTCTGGGCATCTGTGTCAGAAATGATTGAAAGTACACAAGACTGAGGGTTGTGGACAGACATGACCACCAATCCCACACAGCATAGACTATAAAGAAGAAGACGAAGATTATAATTAAGAATATTACGCATACTTTTCAAATAATTGTGACAATCAGACTGTGCTTTCTATCTGCAGTACAAGCTAGTATTGTGTTCTCAGGACATAACCAGTTTTATTTTTATCACATCCACCAGAAGATTCTTGAATTTAGCAGAAGACAAGGTTTTTTTTTTTTTAAATCCAGTGAGGTGGTACTGGTAAAGAAACCTGTTTATAGTTACTATTTATGTTGCTTACCTTTCCCCACGGGGAGTCCCACGAAGGCTCGCCAGGTTTTGAGGCTTTCCACAGTGCAAAATCTGTGACATTACGTTTCTCATTCTGTCTATCCTCTGAGATGCTCAGTTCACCTGAGAACATATTTAAAGTGGCAAGGGTTCGAATTAATTTACCAACAAGATTTCACAACGCTATTGAAATCAACAACAACAGAATATTTGTTAATACAAGACATTCCTTTGTGTTTGGCCTTCTGTCTTAAGGTCTACAGCTCGATTGTGATAAATGTGCTTTTCCTGCCTATGACCACGCAAACAAATAAATACAAATAGGACATAAAGAAAGATAACTACATTGATAGGTCAAAAATTTCCAGGAACTGAGTAAATATCATGCATTTTACACACTATTGTAGCGTGCTGATTTGAGAGAGTGTAATATTGTGTGAAGGGACAGAGTGGTATGTGAGTACTTTCTGTGAGTTCATGGGGAATTGTCAACATTGGCTCGATTATTGAAGGGGAGAGGATGTTGATCAGTGAGAAGTGTAGTGCCACGAGAAAGTAGACGCGTGGGTTACGGTGTGGGGGCTGAAAGCATGGCTAACGAGATAAACAGAGAAAGTGTGAATTAAAGTGACAGCGTGATTCTCAGGTAACATCAGCCACCCACATAAGCGTGATCCTCAGGAACGCTCACATGAGCGTGAGTCTCGAGAACACCCACAGGATCATGATTTCCGAGAACGCCCATATGAGCATGCCTCTCGTGTAAATATCATCCACCCACATGAGTTCGACGGGGATAAATTGAGGCTGAGTAGTCAGTCCGAGTCAGTCAGAGTCGAAAGAAAGAGAGAGAGAGAAAGAGGGAGAGAGAGAGAGAGAGAGAGAGAGAGAGAGAGAGAGAGAGAGAGAGAGAGAGAGAGAGAGAGAGAGAGAGAGAGAGAGAGAGACCAAGTCAGGGTCAGTGATTATCTCTCTCGAGAATAACAGACAGAGTACCGTACAAATATCAGGCATCAAGGCCTGAGTAAGGGTTGAGGTTGTGGTACTGGTCGAAGGTAGAGTCCCGCTGGCGAAGTAAGGCCAAGGGGACGGGAAGCTCGGCCAAGGGGACAGGAAGCTCCAATAGTAACTGTTCTGGGTGACAACGTGAGGAGACGTAGAGTCACTACGGAAACAGGACAGTGGGTGATGCCCACGAGAGCTGTGTGCTAGAGGGGACTTATGGTAGAAGTCCCGTCGGTCATCTGAGCCCTTCGACAGGCTGACGAGAGCTGTGTGCTTTTGGAGTACGGCAAGGGAAGTCCGTCTCCGGTCAGCTGTGGCTGTCTGTTGAAATAATATTAAGGTCCAGTGGATAGGAGTATTCGTCTTATTCAGCTATATGGCGTGATAGAGTTGTGGACACTGTAGGCCTTGGAGCTGTAGTGGTCAAGGAAAGGCCGCTACAGATTGAGAGAGAGTGGGTGTTAACTAAATGGACTAAGGGAGAATATCAGTTGGGATCAATAGCTACGTCTCTGCAGTTGTGTCATGTAACCTGTTGAATGAAATGTATGACAGAGTCATTGTCACCGAGTTCTGTTTCTAAGAGAGGAAGCGAAAGTTGTACCTGCTGGACGCTTTGCAGTGTGCTGGCTAGTTGTAGCTCAGTTAGCACACAACTATGAACAATTATTATACGTACATAAATTGAATTTTTGGGTTTTACAATTTTATCCTGTTTAAAAAATATTAATGTGATTTACGACCAGTTTACATTATCACCTGTTAGTGTGAACGGAACTTGATTATAAGTTGAGGAGACCCCATAATACTTTCCCCCCTATTTTACTTAATCTTCAGCTAACACTGACAAGCTACCAGTTACACTGGGAAGACACAGTAGTGTATTGGCTAGAATCCACTCATCGGCCTGATGGTCTAAGGGTCAAATACGCATCACGGTGAATTTTCTCCTTATTCAAACTGACTCCCAGGTTGACCCAGCCTAGCATGGACAACAGCTAACGTCTGCAAAGTAAAAGTAACTGACGTGATGCTGATCACATCACCCATGGAGTGCCAATGAATCTATAAAAAATATGAGACCTACTATCTGCCTGATGCGTCCACCACTTGCATAAAAAAAAGGGTCCTTTACTTTAGTTAACAGGTACACAGGATTTGTCTGCATATTCTACATACACCAGCCTCTCCATTTACTATAGCAAGCTGTGTTTTTATTCCTATTGAACATTTTGATAGTATGCAGATTCCTGCTGAAGAATTAATTAAAATGAAAAAAAAAATTTCCACTGCAAATATCTGCTTGGGGTGAGTGGTGCTAGTAATTAAAGCTAAATAAGGTATTTAAGAACACTTTCCAGTGAACACGTTCAACAACAATTAGCTAACAGAATCATAAAAGAATCTGCTGCCTGTGATTGTGGAGCAGAAAGACAGACCCCTGAGCATATACTACAGTACTGCCCTAACCTCTCCCAGCAAAGACTGTGGATCTGGCCCAAAGGAGCCACATTGCAAGAGAAGCTATGGGGGACCGGTGGCGACCTTAAACGCACAATCCTATTTGTGACCCAGACGGGACTCAATGTTTAGCATGACTGATATCGAACGCAGAAGAAGAAGAAGAAGAAGCTAACAGAATATCACAAGAGACTGGAAAATTACCTTCTCCGTCTGAAAGAGCCTTTTTGTCACCAAAAGCTTCAGGCACCATTTTAGCATAGAAGTGGTTCGGTGAAGAATCAAACGCCTTAGTATCAAAATAGACAGAACCGTTGGATTCGTATCTGTAAGGGAATATTACAAAATAACATAAGAAATAGTATTTGCTCTCAATTACAGAATGTCATGTAAATACTTTTAATATTTATTAATACCTGATGGTTTCATTTTTTAAGTAAGCACATTTTGTGGTGGAGCAGCTAAATCCTCATCTGCAAATTCAAAGGTTATGGGTTCAGGTTCAGATATAGCCTGACTGTTTTCAAAAATGACCTTGGCTTCCAGGGTTACCCAGTCTTAAACGGGTACTGGAAGTCATGGGAAGTATAGGTGGCTGGCGCGATACTGACCACATCACCCACAGAGTGCAGATTCTTCTTCTGCCTTTCTATCCCCCAAAGGAGCATAGGCCCTCAAGCAACTCACGCCAAGTCGTTCTATCCTTCGATACTACATGAAGCTCTCCCCCATGTCCTCCCCATCTTTCTAACTTCATTCTCCAGCTCTCCTTTCCATGTGTTTTTTGGGCCTTCCTTTATTTCTCTGCCCCTGTTGGTAGAGCGCAGATTAGTCTATAAAATATAGTACCAGCCCAATATACCTGAAGGTGTGGAAAAAGGTCCTTTACTGTTTACTTTACTCAAGTATTTTCTACTTTAAAAATGAAACTATCAGTATTAACAAATGCTCTGTAATAAAAGTGAAGAGTATGTGCACACAAAAGTTTGTGTCACAATATAAATAATGATTGACTTTGGTGAATTTCTGAAAACCTAATAATAAAACTGCTACAAACTTCTTGCACCAACAAAAGAAAAAAAAAAGGAAACTGAAATCCTCAGTGGGGTCTGGGGCCAAGTTGTGGGGAAAACAAAAAGAAACCCACTGTCTACCCAAAAGCATGTCATAGAGTCAACTAATTGGGAGCTTCCTTCAAATTTGGAGTACGTCTGCCTAAGAGGCAGGGAACCAACAGTCTGCAAGCAAATAAGTCAGATCTGTGAAATGGATGCGCATGAAACACTGAGTTTCTGGAGCAGGACAAGAGTCCAGAAGTAGACAAACAACTAGAACTTTCTGCTGGAGTTTACAGCCAGTGAACCAACGAACCAGCGAACTTTATTTTCAAAGGGTCACAAATTGGGCACGCAGGCCGGTCTTACATTCAGCCCTTCCAAACACCTGTCTTTCACACTGCAGTTGTATTTTATCAATAAGCATGTTGTATTCATATGATAATATGCATATTATGAATATCAAGGAAAAAACACAAAAGTGGTGAAGAAGAAGAGAAAGGAAACTGAAAAACACACAGAGAAGAGAACTGAAGGTGAATATGAGGGCAGGCAGTGAGCTGCAGAAGACAGAATCAATCAATACTGGATTGGCTGAGTTCAGAACCAACAACAAACCACTTGGGACTTTCTCACAGGCACAGTGTCTCCATCAACAGTGAACGTTTCCAATTCCAATGTATGATTTACTTCTACCAGTAGAAGTTTGATTATATGTCCGTCATCCCTTTTGTCTGCACTGGATGAGAGGATGAGTGATGCTGATGTAAGAGTGACAACTGATTCAGGAAAATTCACGCCCAGGTGATGTGATTATCTACACAAATGGCTCTGTGTTGAGAGGCAAGAAAACTACATGTGGATTCACTGCAAAAGTGAATGGGCGTCGGTTAATTCAACAAAGCCCACGAAATGATACCAGAACGCCTTTTTTGAGAATGGAGGTGGAGGTAGTCATAGCAGCTTTCTGCTAGCTTGAGAACCAGCTGCACACACATTTTGTAACAGACTCACAAAGCATGCTCCAAGCAGAGTGGCCATCATCACTTCAGAGGCTCCTGATGGCGGCATCCTCTGGATCTTCTATCCAGGATATGCAGGTTGTTGTGAAACAAACAGGCAAAACAGACTGGCTGGTTCTGCACCAACGGATGCACAGAAAGCTAGATGTGGTCACAGCCCTTTGGCAACATGTGAACAATGCCGAAAAGCAAACATTATTACGGTCTGGAAAGAATGGTTCGGCTGCGAGTAACTAGGGGATCTGGCTGACACTCTGACATGTTCTGGCTGTTTGTCCTGCTCCAGAATTTGAGTGCTGCATGCACATCTGTTTTATATATCTGACTTCTTTTGTATGAAGAATGGTGTTTCTTTGCCTCTGAGGCAGATGCACTCTGCCTTCGAAGGAAGCTTCCAATTAGTCGACTCATACGACATGCCTGTTGGGAAGGCACGAGCCCATTCTTGTTGGGAAGGCAGTTGGCCTATTCTTATTTTCCCCACAATGGGAGCCCCAAAACCCACAAGGAGATCATCACCGCTTAAAATTAAATGATGGATATACAACAACCTAGCAAAGAGACGACTTACGCATATCCATTCTGGATGATTTTCTCAATGTAGTCCACAACTTCTGGGACGTATTCACTGACACGGGTTAAAACGTCAGCTGGTAACACCTGGATATTGAATGTAATAACATGTATAATGTACACAATTACAAATGTTTTTAAAATATAGTGCACAATAAACAATACTGAAATGTAATATTTAGTTTTAATGAAATCTAATAAGCATGAATATTACCATTTGTTTTTTAAATCTGTGTTGGTTCCGGGGTCTTATTTTAGGGGAAAAGAAAAACACCCCCCCCCCCCCCCCCCCATAAATGGCAACTAATTTGGAATTCGATGAAATCATAAGTGTTGGGCTGAAAAGGACAGACATCGCAGACTAGCTGTATACCACAACTTGTCAACTAGCCTCAAGGGTAAACGCATAATTTTCCAAAAATTGTGATTTACAATCATTTACCAAATAAAAATGTGGCACAGTAAAATCAAATGATCTTAATAGTTTAAAACTGCCAAAATTATAAATGTGAAAATAAATTAAGAAGCTGTATGCAATACAAACTTATTGCAGACATCAGAGATAAGCACTGTGTGTAACTGTGTGATTTTGGAACAATCACGTTTTCTTCTTCTTTCATTCCCTTGAAATAAATTATCTATATCTGCAATGCTGAGTTGTAGTTAAGTAATAATGGTGAATGATGTGGAAAGGGAAATACATTATCCATGTCTGCAATGCTGTGTCGTAGTCAAGTAATAATGGTGAATGATGTGGAAAGGGAAATACATTATCCATATCTGCAATGCTGTGTCGTAGTCAAGTAATAATGGTGAATGATGTGGAAAGGGAAATACATTATCCATGTCTGCAATGCTGTGTCGTAGTCAAGTAATAATGGTGAATGATGTGGAAAGGGAAATACATTATCCATGTCTGCAATGCTGTGTCGTAGTCAAGTAATAATGGTGAATGATGTGGAAAGGGAAATACATTATCCATATCTGCAATGCTGTGTCGTAGTCAAGTAATAATGGGGAATGATGTGGAAAGGGAAATACATTATCCATGTCTGCAATGCTGTGTCATAGTCAAGTAATAATGGTGAATGATGTGGAAAGGGAAATACATTATCCATATCTGCAATGCTGTGTCGTAGTCAAGTAATAATGGTGAATGATGTGGAAAGGGAAATACATTATCCATGTCTGCAATGCTGTGTCGTAGTCAAGTAATAATGGTGAATGATGTGGAAAGGGAAATACATAATCCATATCTGCAATGCTGTGTCGTAGTCAAGTAATAACGGTGAATGATGTGGAAAGGGAAATACATTATCCATGTCTGCAATGCTGTGTCGTAGTCAAGTAATAATGGTGAATGATGTGGAAAGGGAAATACATTATCCATATCTGCAATGCTGTGTCGTAGTCAAGTAATAATGGGGAATGATGTGGAAAGGGAAATACATTATCCATGTCTGCAATGCTGTGTCGTAGTCAAGTAATAATGGTGAATGATGTGGAAAGGGAAATACATTATCCATGTCTGCAATGCTGTGTCGTAGTCAAGTAATAATGGTGAATGATGTGGAAAGAGAAATACATTATCCATGTCTGCAATGCTGTGTCGTAGTCAAGTAATAATGGTGAATGATGTGGAAAGGGAAATACATAATCCATATCTGCAATGCTGTGTCGTAGTCAAGTAATAATGGTGAATGATGTGGAAAGGGAAATACATTATCCATATCTGCAATGCTGTGTCGTAGTCAAGTAATAATGGTGAATGATGTGGAAAGGGAAATACATTATCCATATCTGCAATGCTGTGTCGTAGTCAAGTAATAATGGGGAATGATGTGGAAAGGGAAATACATTATCCATGTCTGCAATGCTGTGTCCTAGTCAAGTAATAATGGTGAATGATGTGGAAAGGACATTAAGTTTACAACAGATCTTCCATGTCCACAATAAGTGCAAATTGTTTCAACAACAACAACAAAAACCACCAAAATGTATGCAGCAATATAGGTGAACTGTTGTCAGTTTTCATTTGCTAGCAAAAGAATATGACGTGTCAATTGAGACAGTTCAAAAGATTGTTCGTAAAAAACTTTAATCTTGGAAGGTGTGTTTCCGGAAAGGCTAATGCAGTCAAAACTGCCTGCAGAAGTCAGATGTGTCCGCCGCGAGGTGCAAATACTGAAGCCATTACTTTAAATTGGGACAGTACAATTACATCTTCAGATAAAAGCAGATAAAGGAAGGAAGAAAGATGTGTTCACAGTGGGTACCACGGATGTTGATGTGGTAAACATTTAGTTCACTGAGAAACCACAATTTTTGTAAATTTGTTTTGAGGATGGCACTTGCTGCCTACCTAAGCAATGGGATGCTTACCTGAATGCCTGCGGCAACTTTTTTTGACCAACACATGGAGCATAATTTATTCAAAATAAGTTTTCTTTTTAAATTCTGCCATATCTATTGACGTTTTGTTCATGCTTTTTGTAATAAAGTCATTTTGATCGGTCTTTATCACTGAAGTAGTAACTACTACACGGACTATTATTAGAAAACTCAACAGGCACGACAACAGAGACCATATATAGCAAAAGAACAACGAACCAGAAATATACAACAGAACATATGAATATGAGGGGTTTTATTACAGAACAAAACAAATAAAAAGGTTATTTAAAAAAAAACTGCCTAAATATACACTAGTTAAATATTAATTGAGTTAAGGTATGCTGAATATTGATCCCAACGACCGAAAACACAGAAACTATAAATGAAGCAATTTTCCAAGGAGAAGCAGCTAGTTTGTTACTGCTGACAACTCCTGGTTTTATTGGACAAACAAGCCCCTCTACAAGGTTCAGCATGAAAGAAGAGTGACAATTTCAATAATGCTCTTGACCTTAATGTTACTCACATTCAGGGCTTCCATGTCTTTGTGAAATTCCTCCTCCCAGTATTTTGGTAGTTCAGAGAAAATGTCATTGTCTGTGAGTTTGGAGCCCTTATGTTTGTCTAACCAAGGTGCTAAAATATCTTTTATTTCCTCCAAACGCACCTATAGGAAGAATCAAATTCTTATAATGAAATTACTCCATGCAATTATTTAGAAGCTTCATAATATTTGTCTGCAGTTATATGTTTTCCTTAAAAAAAAAAAAAAAAAAAAATAACCACATGTACCGTTCACCGGTTCACCTACTTGTTTATCCACTGCTGGATGGTCTTGTTCCAGAACATGAGTTTTGCATGCAAATCTGCTGTACAGATGTGGCTTATCTGTATGCAGACTGATGGTTCTTAACCTTTAAGGAAGATGCCCTATGACTTCAAAGGAAGTAATGATCCTATCTATGATCCCTGCCAAGAAACCTGTTTCTGACATGGTCTTATCTAGATAGGCCAGGTCACTACCAAGGTACCTGTTCCTGCCATGATAATATCTATTTCAGCAAACTCCCTGTGTTCCTGCCAGGATCCTTTCTATGCTGGCCAGCTCCCTGCCAAGGTACCTGTTTCTGCCATGATCATTAGGTTTAGGTTTAAGTTTAGACAACGGATCAACATCATGACACAATGGTAGTAACCCGAAAGTGCTCTGTTCTACTTCTGACTCAAGCCTGAGTCCGAAGAATCTCAGCGCAGTGCTAGAACTCTAGCACCGGCGAGATCCTGAAGTAATTTGGGTAGATTTTAAACTCCAAATTTTGCCCGGGCAGCGTCGTTAGACTACTCTTTTTTTTAATTTCCAACTGCCAAGGTATTTTTTTACGTGCGCAATAATACACATGGGTGTCCAATCTTACTACCCAGATACCAGGGGAAATTACTACAAGTCCACGTGAGAAAATCCCAACCTTCAACAGGGCTTGAACCTGGGACCTCCAGCACTCGATGTGGACGCCATGCCTCGAGGCCTCAAGACCATGCAGCTCCCAATGATGCCATTACCACTATCTATGTTGGCCAGCTCCCTGCCAAGGTACCTGTTTCTGCCAGAATCCTGAAGTAGTGCAGATAGGTCTTCACCAGTCTGAGAGCACCACCCAGAGTGATCCAGCAACTTTGCATCCCCACACAGAGAACAGTGAAGCAAGCAAATGTAGCAACAAGTCATTCATCTGATCTCACCCCAATCCACATGTACGTTGTGGGACAGTGACTGATTGATTAGTCTGCCACCTGGTGTTGTTACCTAAAGGTTTACCGTACCATCCCGAGATTAAAGAATTTGGTCTGATCATCACTACTACTGGTCATTACCAAACATTTAGAGGAACAGCACACACTAACTACTTCCTTGAATACAAGCAAATGAACTCTACCAAAGAACTGTTCATAAATAGACAGTTACAAGACCATAAACACTCTAAAGTTAGTATGCTATTAACTAGTTATGTATCTGAATGCAAGCCCAAGAACCCTGTACAGATTCAGATGTTTAGATAACCATAAACATTCACAAATCAGTACAATATAAACTAACTGTTTCCATAAAATAAAAGACGATGGTGGAGGGTATAGTTTGTGGAAGGTGAGGCAGAGGTCGACGACCGTGAAGATGGATACAGGACATTGTTGATGCATTGGCATTAAAAGCACATGGGGCTGGAGAGCTGGCTAGGGAAAGAGATACTCTCAGGCGTGCAGTGAAGAGAGTGACGTTCTGTAAAGGACTTGCGATAGATGATGATTTCCCTAAATAAAAGAACAAGATGTCCACTGAAGTACTGCTCAGAATGAGACTTTTTGAGGACCATAAACATTCTAAAATCAGCACAATATAAATTATTTCCTCAAATATAAGCTTAAGAACTCTACGAAAGCAATTCTCAGAATTAAACATTCAGAGGCCCATAAACACTCTAATGACAAAACACTCACACTCACATTTTTTCCAGCATCTCCGCTGTCAACCAAGGCCATCACTTTCTCCTTGACCTTGGTCAGCATGTTGTGCTTGTCTGGATCTGTTTCATTGGAAATTTTGCTGTCTAGTAACTGTCGCAGAGAAATAACAGCCACTGAAGTAACATCGAAAATAACAAAAGGAAACAGCACAAATAAATATAACAAATGACATCAAAGAAATCAGTTTATCGGAACACACAGTACGCCGATTGATTAATGAGACTGATTTTATTATGGGCAAGACAAGCGACTCTCACTAATTGATTAAAATGTAGTGCAGTGATTTTGGTCACAGGTGGGGAAGAAGGTTAAGGCCCTTGTGATGTGTATAAGGAGAGGGTCAAACAGTCTACACAAGGTTGCCAAGGTGGGTTCTCTAGGGGCAACACTTGTAAATAAAGTGACAGAGAGGACATCACCCTAATAAGGCTGGTCAGAAAAAACAATGCACTGATATGGGTCTGAGCCCAACACCTTCAGGTTAGTGGGCAAGCATCTAGCCACTTCACTACTGTAGCTCTCTACTTCTGTACAGTGCTGACAACAAGCAAATCTCGTGGCAGTGGTTGTCTTGATAGATAGTCAAAGTTCCAACTTCATGACAAACGGGTTACTCCATAACTGCCCAGGTCCTGTGCCAGGAAGTACCACACATAGTGCATTCACTGTCACTTGTGACAAAACTGCAATAGAGTGCAGTCTCTGCAAAGTCAATGGCATAAACACACATTAAATGCATAAGATACTCAGAAATATGAACACAAACAGCCCAACACTAGAGCTGCAGTTCATCACTGATGGAGGTAGCCATTACATGCAATATTACATGAGGCACCACCAGGTCTGTGGCCACAGGCCACTCACCACTTTCTCAATGTGTGGTTCACAACACAGTTGACTACCTGATAATTTACCTTAATAGCCGCCGCCACATCTTGCTGCACTTGTTCAGGGCTGTGGTTGCTGTCGATGTACTGTTGCATGAGGTAGTTCTGCCGAGCCCTTACGATGATCTACATTGGTTTTAAAAAATTAGATTTGTATTGTAAGCAAAATGTTGCATGACTTGTGCTTGATATTTGAGATGTATGCTCTATCTGTTCGACAGAAGTCAAAAGGAGTATGGTTAAAGCAATACAAAGATTAAACATAATTAAAAGTCTAGGGTTAAGCACCAGCATGGAAATCACCTGTAGCAACATATGGATGTGAGTCGTAGACTATTTCCCAGTCTTTAAGAAAGAAAATAGGGGCTTTTAAGCTGAAATTCTATAGAAAGATTATCAGAATACCACAGACGAAGACAGGAAGAAATATTGACATTTTAAGAGATCTGAACATCATAGAAGATTGGCTAATAAACAGCATCTTGTCTCAGAAGCTGAAATATTTTGGTCATATCAAGCCCCATGGCAGGTTGGAAAAAAATAATAGCAAAAAGCATGTTAGCAGGAAGGAGGGATAGGGGCCGACCAACACAAAGATGGGTGCAGGATATAAGTGACTCTTTGAGTATGAAAGTGCATGAGGTGGGAAAGGTGGCGAAAGACTGGGTTTATTTCAGGCAGGCCATGATGAGAGCCACACTCTGCAAAGAACCTGCTACATGATGATGTTTTATCTACAAACTGGTTAACAAATTAATACACTAAACTTTCTTGGACATGCAACAGTATGAAGAAGCAGATTTTGTTGCTACCAAAGTAATATCTACAAGCTCACTGACAAGCGAGACGTTCTTGAGCCCCTTCACGAACAAATACTAATGGGAGATAGGCTGTCAGATGAAAAATCAAGGAAGGATGGGTGAATTTGGAACTAAGTGTTGACCCACCAAAAAAGGACCTTTGACAGGAAAAGTAGGATCAGTGTATTAAGGAATCTTTCAGCATCTACACCCTAAGAAATGACTTTTCAACTAAGTTTACTTAGGGGCCAAAACACTGAAAATCAGGACCGTCACGGATCAGAGACAAGAGCTTCTAGCACAGAAAGATTATTAATGCAATACAAGTGGCACTGAACTGCTAGCCTCTTGCTAGGCCGCCAGTTAAATAGCATTGCCCTAAGACATTTGCTACAGGAAATGGTGTATCTATAGGTATGTCTGGTATGGTGTGGTGTCGATTCTGAAACTGATAACCAGTATCATAAATTGATTATTACAGAATTTTATCACATATGAGAGAACAGTAATGCAGAAGAACCTGGGTTATTCGTCTTACAGTCCTCGCTGTGTGCTGTTGATTACCATGTCCCCTATCAGATGTACTGACAATTATTCTGAAACAAATGTCTTATAAAAGACAATGCCAAACTGTTCGCACACCTCACTCACCTGTATGTGTGTGTGTATGTATGTATGTATGTAAATGTAAGTTAGTGAATGGGTGAGTGCGTTTAGGCGTGCGTCAGTGTACGAATGCATTTTACCACCCATACTTTTTTAAATTCATAAAATGCATTTTATTATCTAAACATAATGTCATTTATTGATAAAATACAACTGCTGTGTGAAAGATGGGTGCTTTAGGGCCAAATCAATGATGGGCCTGTGTGCCCAATTTGTGACCCTTTGACAATAAACGTTTGTTCATTCGTTCTCTATGGCTCTCTTCTTCCCCTTGTGAATGCTTTATCAAGATAACTTGATCTTCATTATGCCTTTTATTAGCCCATGGTGTAATCATCTATAAAACAGATCTAGGGTATGAGGTGGTACTAATCCTAGAGATTTTTCGGATGGATCAACTCTTTTGAAAGGGAAAAAAAAACACTGCCTTTTTTTTTTTTTTTAAAATTAACTTTACCACACAACTGCATAAGTGAAAATTTGTCTTATACATTTAAAAAAAAAAAAAACTTATTACTGTCTTTGCATATGTTTTCTTCAAAGGCAGTATAAGACAGTGGCATGGAGAAATGATCCAGAAAACCAAAGAACAAGATCTGTGGTGACGCATAAACACCTATGCCAGCTGGCAAGGCACTTGATGATGATGAGTGCAAGACATGGAAAGTCATAGTCTGAGGATTTACAGCTGCACGGCTAGGTGCAGTCGCCAGGGACTGAGTAGGGTTTAGCTGCTTTTTTTTCTACTTCCACTGATAGAAATCATTTCCATTACTTTTTTCTAACTATTTGGCGCCCCTAGCGGGCAGGTCACATTCAAATATAGACCCGTCCGGTGGGTGCATAGTCCATCATGTCTAACTATACCTTTATCTGACGGAATAGATATTTCTATATGTTCTGAGTCTCTTGAAAAGTCTACATTTTCAAACTCACAGTTGTAGGGTAGAGATTCTCTGGATTATTATTCTTTATTCGAGGAGACGATTCACTCCTCGGCGTATTGATTCTTTGAAAGTGACGCCATGTTTCCCCCCATTCTCAGTCAGGCTTCCAAGTAGAACAGAAGTGTTTTGGCTTTGTGCTTAATTCTGTCTAGAACAAAGTACCAGTTTATTACCTCGAGGAATCTTGAGCTTGGGTAAGTCGATTATAGTTTATGAGTACCATGTATCTATATCTATATATTCAACCCACTGCTGAGGAGAGGAATGATGTGGCTATGAGTCATTACAGAGCGGGACTGTTCTTGGTGTCAAAATACTCCCGGCCACCTAAATCAACCCTTTCCCTTTTCAAGCTGAGAGTATATGCCCTACCTAATCCAACATTAGTATAAATGAATTAATCTAGTAGTCAATCGTTCCATAACTAGCCAGTTGGGAATTCGGATGGCGACATCTAAGCCGGCTGATTTAATTGGGTCAGCGCACAGCTTCTCCGCACAGCGAGAGACACACACAGTGACGTCAGGAGTTATTTATGGGAAACTCAGACACAACACAGGGTAGGCTAGGGTCATTCTGTGGAAAATAATATATACATATGTGGGAGAGTGGTGGTCTGCGTGACTACAGGTGCAGATGTGGAGAGATGAAGTTCTCTGTTTGTCCCCACTGTGGACCTTGTCTCATGTCTCTTATCCTGACTGACAGAGATACATGGAGGCTACTACTGTCTCATTATCCTGAGAGCTGTCCTCTGAGTGATTACTAAATGTGGATGATAATAAAATGAGCTAGGCATGTGATCAGTGAGATGACTGCTAATTCTGAGTTCTTTCGTGTCACAGGATGATATCTTCTTGGAAGCCAGGCAGTCAATCAGCAGTCCACAAAACCACCAGCATGGAAGCCTTCTACGTGTAAGCCAGTTTGTGGGCATCAGCTTGCAAGCCACCAGTCTGTCATCCACCAGATAATAATCCTCTAGCTTGTCAACAGACATTATCATGATTGATGCACCTTCACCATCCTTTTGTCCGACAGTTGTTCATGGCTACCAGTAACAGACTTAGTGCCAGAGTACCCTCTCAAAGAGCTTGTTTGTGCTCCAGTGATTGAGAACTGAGTTTGTCTTTACCAGATCAACCGTCTGATTGAAGTGTCAGCCAGTCCAAGTAATCATTAACCAGATGAGTGCAGTGATCCCGAAGTGTAAACAGATAAGTGGCATCAGTTGATGGTTTAATTCCATGCTTTTATATTAACTGCCCACACGTCATGGGGATGAAGTAAGGCTGCCTTTGGGAATCTCTAAGAGTACCAGTCAGACATACTGTGTTTTCGGTCTCTCATAATTCTGGTTGTTCTTGAATTTCTTGCTTGACTCTTATATGATGTATATGTTGAATATATTACATGTCTTTGGAATTTTTCATTATTGACTTGAGTGTCCATCATTCACTGTTCTTAGCTGTCTGGAGTACATGTATTTATAAATAGTAATCTTAATCTGTGTTAACATGACTGTGATAGTACACTATCATGTTCTGGGGGCTATTTTCTTGTAGTAGTGGGGACGTCGGGCCAAGTTGCGCCTAGGAATATATTTATTTATATTCTGTAGTGCCATAGCTTGTGTTGCCCTACTCCTGAAATAGGCTGGGTGTATATTGGCCGCGGGATACCGCCTAGACCAATACGAGCCGACATCCCAACACTTTTACTATTTCAGAGTGCTGTTCATAAGGAGAAATCCTTAATCAGGCACGTGACACGAGCGGTATGTGACATAAAATATATATAATGGAAAAGTCACTGAGCTTTTGCAACCAGCCATCCCATAGATACCAAAAGACACTAGCTAATCAAATAAAGTAAAGTAAGTGAAAGACCCTTTTTTTAATGCCAGTAGGGCAGCGGTCAAATGATGCCAGATTCATATTTTTAGAAACAAATCGGCACTTGGTGGGTGATATGATCAACATCACACCGGCCACTTTTACTTCCCAGACATTACCTGGGACTCATTTCTGGGTGGTTCGTCCAGAGAACTAGGATCGATTTTGAAAAACAAATCTGCCATGATGCAGATTCTAACTCAAGACTTGTGGGCCGACAAATGAGCATCTAGCCACTACATTACTGCAGCTTCCACCAGCTTATCAAACGTTCAAGAACCTGTGCTAACCTTGTCATCGATATCTGTGATGTTCATGCAGTAGAAAACGTCAAACTTGAAGTAGTCCATGAGCACCCGACGAAGGATGTCAAATGAAATATATGACCTGGGGACAATGATTGAAAACAAGTTTAAACTACAAGAGTGATTAATATTATACTCGGAGGAAAGGCAAGATGGACCGATAATCAAACTGGGACCAGTGGAAATCTGTGCTAGCTGCTTAAAATAGGGACATAGTAACTGTGGTAATGTCGCACAGATTCCCCAGTCACTTGCCCACTCATACGTGATGCTGTCATAAGAGTTATCAAATAGGAAAAGTCTTTGTTTCAACAGTCCCCTTCTATAACCCTAATGTCATACTTGATGCTGAACAAACACTCAAAAAACAAAAAAGAATGTCTTTGATTAACCAGATGTCAAATACAACTTTCTATCTGGGAAAGCTAATCCAGTCAATAAATATCAGAAAAAGTTGAGTGCTGGTCACACAAAAAAAAAGAAATGCTGACATATATTATTTATTCTATGTTCATCTTCAGTTCTCCTGTAACTTATTTTTCGTCTATTCCTCCAAATAACTTATCAAAGTGTTGGGGATGTAATGTGTTCTACAAGTAAGCTGATCTTAATTTCTCTAAGGTTGTTCTTGAAGCCATTGTTAAATCTTTTGCATGGTCTTCCCTTGCTCTGTGTCCATTATATTTCTTCAGCGTGGCTCTTTGTAGCAGCTGATACCAAGACATTCTTGTCAGATAGCCAGATTATTTCCATTTACTACTCTTTGTTTAACTGTGTTAGTTACAATCATAAAGTACATGGAAGATCAGCTGCAAGACTGCCTTAGTTTTAATTCACTGTTAAAGAAGGTAAAATGAGAAAGGAAGGGAACAAACCTTGCATGTCCCATATGAGATGCATCATAAACTGTTGGACCACAGTTGTACCATGTAACTGTATTGCCTCTCTGAGGGATAAATTCCTCCTGAAAGACACACACACACAAAAATCACGGTATTCAAAATCTTAGCATGGCTTTATATTTTTTTTCCTAGATGTAACCATTAAATAATTCATATAAACTTCAAGGGTGAGACCACAATTTTTAGGGGGCTGAGTATCCCTCACACCCCGCTAGAAAATTTGCAGCAGGGCTAAGTGATTTCCCCTAACTATGTATAGAATGTACTTTTTCATATCCCCTCGTGTGGGTCCCATTATAGGGGAAAACAAGAACAGATCCACTGCCTACCTAACAAGCATGTATAGGAATTGAAGTAATTGCAGGAAAATTTGACTAAAAAGCTTAACCAAATGGTGAAGCAGAAAAATTTGCACAAAACAACAACAGTTACGTAATATTTCGGCGGGGCAGCCTTTGTCAAACATGAAGTGAACTACACAAAGGTAACAACAAGGAGAAGAGAGTATACTGATCTCTAAGGGGTGACGTGAGCAACGTTTTAAAAATGTGATGTGGACTAAATGTATGACTAATGTATGCCTTGCTGCATCATTTGCAGATTATTGCATAAATTACGTTGCGGGATTGGCAAGTAAAAGATTCCTTAATTTGGAAAGAACCATTAGGGAAACTGACCGAAGAAGTCTGGACAACGAAAGGACATGTCTTGCACGTGCTGTGGGAGCATTCAGTAGGAAGTGGTGTGTGGATCTGTGGGAATCATCTTCTGACAAGTATGTCTTTAAGGTTGTGGTCTCGTCTATAAACTAATCCAAACTGTTAGGGTGAAAAGTCAAAATCAATTTTGTATTAGCTTGACTGCAGTCACCCCCATATTTTCACCATGTATAGGAGTTGAATAATTAATTCTAAGTGTGATGGGGGATTTCTTCACCCTGATTGGGAAGGTTGGGGGGAAAGTCCCAAGTTAACAATAATACCGAGAGAAGCCAGATACTCGGCTTAATCAAGGTTTTTAAGATAGGGGACTACCATGAGTTATCACGTGGAACCCAAGGAGAACGACCACAGGTCGCCACGTAGAACCCAAGAACAACCACGTGTTGCCACGTGGAACGAACACTGGGTATAGTATCAGACAGTATGTGTTGATCGTCAGAACGAGAGGACATGAGAGTGATTGTGCGAGTGTGAAACTGATTGTTGCGAGAGGAAGACCAGAAGTACAGTCCAGCCAAGTTGTGAGAAGCTTGATGCAATGACCAGGTCCATCTATGTGGCGATGTGAAACTGAAGACGCAGAACTCTGGTTGGTGAATGTGTGAGAAGTCAGCGTGTTGGCATCTGAACAATGTGGTGTGTGAAAGCTGTTGATTAGGACATGGATGGGACAACTGATGTAAGTGTCAGATGTCAATAAACAGTCTTGTATCTTAGAGACGGTGTTGGCTTGTCACAGCTATGTCATCTTGGAGAGTGTATAAGATCATCCACTAGACACATCAACCCCTAGAAGACGAGCAGTGCTAGTGAAAGCACAACTTATTGCACCAATTCAGAGTGCACCTGCCCGCAAGGCAAGGAATCAACAGTCTGCAAACAAATAGGCCAGATCTGTAAAAAAGGGTGCACTGTAAACTCAGGTCCTTGAACAAAGTCAAAGTCTAAAAATGGACAAACAACCAGGACAGGGTTTACAGCCAGTGAACACCAAAAACAAATATACTTTTCATATTATAATTTTTTATCTGTAAGCACCTCAGAAACTTTTCTCCTATAAGGGAGCTAAGCAGTAACAGTTCTGAAAATACAACTTAATAATTTCAACAAAGATATGTTCACTTTTCTTCTAGATCTCCCAACACAATTTTTAAAAACTGTGTATCCTGTGTGTGTAAATTGTGTGTTTTAAAGCTTCAAAGAATGTGTTTTACAAAACATTGAGAACTTAATGAATGTACCATATCACGTTTTCTTTTGCCCTTTATATTATCCTCCAATGCAGCAGAGGCCCTCAAATAACTCAGGCAGTCATCGCCACCTTTCAGAAAGGCTTTCTTTTGTCTTCTTAGCATCATCATGCAGCTCACTCCATGCCCTCCTGATTTTATTAGTGAGCAAACTCTCTAGTTCCCTTCGCTGTGCCTTTTTTGCAGCTGTCTTTATTTCACTGACCCAGTGGATTCCAGGGCAAAGAGTTAAAAGTATAAAAGACATTCTAGTTATGCTGTTCTAATGTTTTCTCATTCAGTCAGTGCTAGAATCTTTCTTCCCCCTTAACTCTTGATTCCATAGAGTTTAGTTTATTTAGTTCTTTCACAAAGCTCCACATAAGTGATTTTATCATATAAAACTATATAGTATATACCGCTTTGAAATTTTATTACCAGTTTTTATTGTTATTGAAGACTATTCAAAATGAAGAAAAAGTGTTATTAATATTATTTGATCGATATTTCTCCCTCGTAGGAAAAAAAAACAGAATTCAGAATAACATTTGTATTTGTTAAATTTGTAAAAAGAAAAAAAAAATTAATTTTGCAGACATTTCCACAAAGTGTTTAAAAATTTCCGTCTTTCGTATCTACGTAAATGAACTAAATGCGTCTGACATAGAAGTTGCTGCAGCACATGAGCTGTTACTTATTACTGTTAGAGATTAGATTAGTTCATTAGTGGGGCCCATTCTAATGATTCTTAAATCTTAGTTTACTCGGTTTGTTTACTTAAAAACTTACTGACTGCTGATTCAATCCCTGGAAATATTCGAGTGTCTTATATATATATATATATATATATATATATATATATATATAAAGCAGGTGCGCCGACGAAAACATTACCCTCCCCCTCCCCCTTACCACGCGTTGCCATACATTTATTGAGGGTAAAAAGGGGCGGGGCATCAAGGGGCCTAATCATATTTTAGGAAAATAAGGAGGTGACTGCAGTCAATTTGTGCACGTTTTTATAGCTTTCCCCCTTTTGTTGAGCTTTTTAGTCAAATTTCTCTGGAATTCCTATTTTAGGAGCATACTTTAAAAAAAAATACTACTTGAAATAACGGGAAATGTGTAAACAAATACTTGTAAAGATCATTTATATACAAAGTTAAAGGCAGCTGCTTAGCCTTCATATAAAAATATATTGGGGAAGGAGGACCTTCCTAGCTGAAAGTGGTCAAAGAAAGAGAATTTGAATTGAAGGAGGACCTGTTATATCCCCTTACAATGAAATTTTTTGTTATTTGAAGCCACACCCTGGCTTTTGCCAGGGGCCGCAATATAGGCAGGCCATGAATATGGCCAATTGTCTAAACGCGGTTTCTGGGACCTCTCCACGGTGATCCTCATCCACGTGGTGGTACTTTGTGTCATCGGGTGTTTATCGCTTGTGCGATGTCCTAGTAGGGTAGAAAGTGAGTCAGTTAGTCAGGAGGACCTAACTCTCCCATAAAAATGGAGATGGGGGAGGGCTCTAGTGGCCCTCTCGTTCTAAAGGTTGCAGCACCCCTGGTACACACACACACACATACGGAGAGAGAGAAAGAATATATGCGAAAACAATTACATTTTTTATACTTTATGGTAAGTACCGGTTTTTTTTTTAAAGTTAGTCCTACTAAGTATAAAAAAGGCAAGGAACCGTAGATGAAAAAAAAATAAAAAATATAAACCATGCTACTGACATGGGTATTTTTTTTTTGTTTTGTTTTGTTTTGTTTACTTTGTGTCTGAAAACGGGAACATGTCCACGCATACTTTCTTTCTTTTTTTGGGGGGTCCAAAATAGTTTTCAAATTGATAAGAATTTCGTTCACTAAAGCTCACGGAATCCATAGTGTGGTTTCAGTCACTGAAATATCCTCACCATTATTAGGCCATCCTGTTGAACCTCAGTGAGGGGAATACAAATGTACGTCATGCTGTGTGCTCACTGCCGGATCCTCCATTCTTCTTCTTCTTCGCATTCACTAGCTGTAAACTCTAGCGGAAAGTTCTGGTTGTTCGTCCACTCCTGGACTGCAGTCCTGTTCCAGAACTTGAGTGTTGCAGTAGCATCCGTTTGACAGATCTGACTAATTTGTATGCAGGCTGTTGGTTCCTTGCCTCTCAAACAGATGCACTATGACTTCGAAGGAAGCTCCCAATTAGTCGACTCTTACGACATGCTTTTGGGTAGATAGTGGGTCTATTCTGGTTTTCCCTATAAAAGGGCCCTGGAACCCACATAGGGATCCTATATTATCTTCTACCCTCTGCAAAATTTTCAAATCAAGACTCGCACCCCACACATCTTCAAAAGCAGACGATGAAAAGCACAACTGGTCTAGAGAGAAATCTGGCATCCAGTCCAGTACATCTGGTCTCTTGTCATCAACGTAAGCCGCTGGGCTTCGTTTGGACGTCCTAGGTATCTCAGTCCATTTGTTTCCGAGTTCAGTGCTTTTTTTTTGTCCACTTAATTTACAAAAATGCCCAATTTATAGTTCAGTGTTTCCCAAACTGTTCTTAGTCGCGGCGCCTTTTGTTTTAATTAAAATTTTTCAAGGCGCCCTAAACTAAGTAAAGGTATGACTATTCGTATGTGAGAGATTTAAAAAAAAGGTTTATCTTCGAATATTTAGCAGCGTCCCTGTGAAGAGGTCGCGGCTCCCCGGGGCGTCACGGCGCACAGTTTGGGGATCACGGTTATAATCATATTATTTCTTCTTGGAACCCCTTGGAGCAGCTCTTTCATTGTAGGCCTAATGCTCCGTTGGAATGATGAGGCTGCTGAGAGGACGGTAGCGCCAAATATGAGAAGAACCAGTCTAGGAGGCTCCTACCACTGTCGCAGGGTTATAGTTCGGACAGACACTTAAATCTGACGATAAAACAAATACCTCTTCTAAAGCTTGAGCATCTCAGTAAGATCCTAGCATTCACAGTGGGAAGTGTGTGTGTGTAGCAGTTGTGGTTTTTCTAAATAAATTTCCGTCCAGAAGTTTGCCACTGCTTACTGGACGGTCGGCTTTGCTATACCACCAGAGAAACCAACGCAAGGCCCACAGCTGAGAT